GCGCTACAGCACCATGCTGCTCTTTGGCTCTTTCAGTAAAGTCACGGAGAAAACATAATAAAATAATAAAATACGACGTTTCGGTTGCAACACAAGCAACCATCATCAATTTCGATTTAAAGCTTTCGTGACTGCAGGGATTCATCTTCTCGGTTCTTTCGGTAAAGTCACGTAGAAGGGAAATAATAAAATAATAAAAATAAAACATAATCAAATAATTCTCACGACGTTTCGGCCACAAAGCAAGCAGCCGTCCTCAGGTGATGAACGGGCTGTGGGACAGACCACGTCTGAATGAACACCACCAAGCTTGGCAGCGTATATTTAAGCTGGGTTAGAGGAGGAAGGGCGCCTTGACAAAGGAATTTGCATATCAACAGAGGAATTTAGCATATTTATGGTAAATGCAGATATGGGATTAGTCATTACTTGTGGAATGCGTAGAAGGTGGGGGGGGGGGGGGGTCTGAAAGTCATATTATGCCCGTGCATTATGTCGGATTAGCAGCATCAAAGGGAGGATGTAGGGTAATGTAATAAAGGGAAGGAATTTTAATAGTAAGAAGCTGCAGCAGCCAAACCACCACGTAAAAAAACTAAAATATAAACTACATCAATATCATCAATATACTAAATATACTCTCCAATAAGCTGAGCTACTAACAGTAAGTCATACATTACAATTCTATGTCGCAAAAAAATATAATATGCCTCCAGCTAAAAACTTTTTTCCTTACATCACACGGATCTACCCCGTACTATATACTGCCATAGACAAACCCAACATTAAATTATATACTGCATTACTATACACCACCCTATACCTTAGAATCTAGACCCTTCGAGATGGTTCCCGGAGCTTGTGGACTGACTCCGCCCTTGACCCTTACCCCAAATACGCCCCCTTCATAGCAGTACTTGCGTCATGCAACTGATAACCATAATTACCCCTTCGGCCAGCAGATGTCACTCTGTCATGACCAGCAGGTGTCACTCTATTATTACACATGTACAGATGCAGGGTGGATGGTTGGATTGCAGGATCGTGAGAGGTGGCAAAGGCTTGAAAAGGTCTTCATCCAGCAGTGGATTGATCATGGCTGATGACGATGATGAATCATTCCGCTGCTGGATGAAGTCCGTGAAGACTTCCCCATGCCATGTTTGTCATGGGAGTTGTAAGACCACCATACTTCACCACAGTATGGTCTGGTGAAGCGGGGGAGGAGGTGGGCATGGTTGGGGGTGAAGGATTGGATCAGTCATTACACCACTAGAGTTTTCCATGAATAGTAATCGAACTCAGGTTGCCTGGTTTACATGCAGTGCTGAACCAGTGGATCGCTACTACCCCCAGTAAACTCTATATGATTAACCTGAAATGTTCTATTTCTGTAGTTCAAAGAAAAGTGTCATTACTATATTTTGCGTAAAACCATTTTTGATATTATGCGGAACTAATTTTACCCCGTTTATAAAGTTACCTTAATTTTGATCGCAGACAATAGCATACATTTGTAGAGCACTAGTTGAGGACATGACGTCACGCGGGGCGGATATACATCATCTCCACTACCCTGGGGCCGGGTGGCTGTCGTGTACGACATGCGGATGTGCGTTTGTTGTGCTGTGCCTCAGGGGGTTGGATTCTCCTTCTCGTCACAGATCTTCGGCACCTGCCACACTGGGTGTTACCGGGTGTGCTAACCGGATGTGGACTTGAAGGGGGAATGGAGCGCCCGTTCGTCACTCCTGCTCTACCAGTTGCTCTCTGACGTTGGACTTGAGCCAGGTGGATGGAACAGCAACACGGACACGCTCTAAGACACCACATTCCTGGTTTATGCGCGTCGGCCGTTCTTGCGTGTCGGTTACCGTTGTTGTGTATTGCTTTCCATTCCTTAATTCCTTGTTGCTTGTTGCACGGAGGATGGGCCGGTGTTCCGTACCGGATCCTGATCCCTTCCCTTTCGTTAATTGTGTTTGTTGTTGTTGTTGTTATACTCTCCGTTGCGTCTGGGGTGATTCCTGATGGTGATACCGTCACTCGCATTATTTTATCCTATTGCAGCCGGGGACGGCTGGGTTTTTCATCGGGGGTGGGGTCATGTAATGCGAGCGTGAATGAGGTTGCTGCTGGACTCTAGCCCAATCACACAACCCGGGTATTGGAGGTGGAGCCAGCAGGGCAGTAAGAGAAGAGCGGGTCTGACGATCTGTAAGGGAGGAGTCAGGGTCACGTGAGAGAGGGGTTATAGGGGGGAGCCCGGAAGAGATCGGGGCCAGTCGATGGAGTGAAGAGGCGGGACCACGTTGGGTGGCCGCCGCGCCATCAGCCGCGTGGCTGATGGGGCTAGCGGGGTAGCTAGCAGAGTGTGCGGGGCACACGGAGCAGCGGTGTGGCTGCAGAGGGTGCTAGCGGAGTGGCTAGCAGGGTGTGCGGGGCACACAGGGCTGGTGGAGTGGCTTACAGAGCGTGCGTGGCACGCGAGAGGAGACGCTGGTCCCTTGCCGGGACCAGCGGGGTGAAGGGACGAGTGGAAGAGCTGAGGAGGAAGAGAGTGCGCGGGGCGTGCGAGAGACGACGCTGGTCCGAGGAGGAGGCCAGCGGGGTGCGGAGGTGAAGAACCCGAATAAAGGACGAATGGAGACTTACATCGCCTGATAGAGTCTTTTATTACAGTAGTATCTACTGACTCTACAGTAGTATCTACTGACTCTACAATAGTGTCTAGTGACACTACAGTAGTAACTACTGACTCTACAGTAGTATCTACTGACTCTACAGTAGACACTACTGACTATAGGTGTAACTACTGACTATAGTCGTATCTACTATCGTAGTAACTATACATATTGGCATAGGGGGGGAAGAGAGCATCACACTGTTTAGGATTTACCTCAGCGTGCGGCTTGTGCAGCAATAACTGTGCTTGATTTTTTTTCTTTTTGGCATTTTTTACGCTAAGGAGATCCTCCATCCCGTCGCCACTCAGCAAGCTTTTTTGCGTTGCTAGGGGCAACCGTGAGTCGGCGTTTCCACACATGCGCAGATGCATGCTTTGGCGCGCATTATCATTACGATCAGCGTACATTGTTACAAAGTGTGATTTTCTTAGTTTACATTGGACCAAGGGCAAAAACAAATCGAGATTTTTCGTCGGGGGCTTAGTTTGTTGTACGTGTACTTTGTTGAAACGTAAACCCAACAATTGCTCAGTTAAACGTGTTATAAAGATAGGGGCCGTCCATAAATTACGTCACGCGATTTTGGACGATTTTTGACTCCCCCCCCCCCCCTAGTCACACGGCGTCACAAAAAGTCACACCCCCTCAAATATGACGTCACAAAGCTCTGCCCCCCCCCCCCCCAAGAATAAGACGTGCTTCAAATCGCTTTAAACTATTGTCATTGTAGTGCGTATTTAATGTGGCGCTGCAATCTGATGTTGAAGGAGAAAACATGTATTAAAAAGTCTATATAATTAAGTAGAACGTGTTGTCTATCTATATATATAAAATCGTGAATCTGTCTGTCTGTCTGTGTGTCTGTGTGTCGCCGGACCATACGCACTTTCATTGGACGAAATGTCAGGGATTTGCGACACACGATTGGTCCGGCGGTTGCCCCTGGCAACGGGTAGCGACGCATTCGCCATTTTTAATTCCCGTTAAAAATAGGCTCACGCATTAACACGCGACTCTGAGGTAAATTCATCAAAGTTTCACGTCCTCTTCACTCCCCCCCCCCACCACAATGTGTGCAATTACTATTATAGGGTCGGTAGATTATAAAATTATAGCCATTAGACAGTATTATTGTAGCGCGGGGGGGGGGGGGGGGAACGGCACCCGTACCCGGCGTCAGCCGGGTGGGAAAATCAGGCGAGGCCGGAGGCTCTGCACGGTGCTAGGCCTCGACACCCACCACGCCACTCTGAGGTAAATTCATCAAACTTTCACGTCCTCTTCACTCCCCCGCCACCCCAATGTGTGCAATTACTATTATAGGGTCGATAGATAATTAAATTATAGCGATTACACAGTATTATTGTAGCGCGGGGGATCGGCGCGCCTCACTAAAACCCTACAACGGATCGGCGCGCCTCACTAAAACCCTACAACGGATCGGCGCGCCTCACACAAATCCTACAACGGATCGGTACGCCTCACACAAATCCTATAACGGATCGGCGCGCCTCACACAAATCCTACAACGGAAGCGTAATGCATTGTAGTGTCGTGGTTAGCGCGCCACGCTACGAACCCGGCGACCCGAGTTCCATTCCCGCTCACGGCCACCACCGGTGACGATTATTTGAACCGGTCCTGGGCCTCCCCTAGGTCGACTCAGCCTCAAAACGAGTAACTGCTGTGGCGTATGAACATCGCCACTGGGGAGACAAAGGCGGCCTAGCGTCGTGGATCCAAGACCCGGGCGAAGCCGGGTAGTAAAGCTAGTATTTATATAAAGTTGGCATTCTAATGTGACGTCACACATCGTCACAAATGTCTGACCCCACCCCCTAGGTGTGTGATGGCAAAAGGCGTGTGCAGATAGACAAAAATGATGTTTACAGGAAATATACAATATCAAAACATTGTTGGAGCGATTCAATCAGTGTGTACAAAGTCCAAACCTCTAACCCTACCCCAAACCCTAACCCGTCACTCCAAACCCAAATTCCTAACCCTTAATGTTAACCCCTAACCATACCCAAATCGTTTACCCCTCACTCGTAAACCATAAACCGAACTACTAACTACTAACCCTTAACCATAACCCCTAACCCGTACCCCTAACCTGCCCATAGCATTAGCCCAAACCCCTAACCAAAATCCTAACCCATAACCCCTAACCTTACTCCTAACCCATAAACCCCTAACAATGTTGCTTCATACATTTTACTGTTCTTCCATATGGTATAATTTTCAGTCGACAAATTGCTTCATTCATACACTTCACACTAACTGTGGAAATTACACAATGAAGGACAGGCAGTAGAGACATTATTTATTACAATTGGTGCATTACAAGCAATTAATACATTCACATGCGTGCAATCTTTGCTCGTGCTGTTTGATGCCACCACACATTCCCATTGATTTGCTATGTTATATCCCACATAGGCAATTTCAGACCTTGAAGGACAACCACCACCATCAATGGCTGGATCTAGGTCTTCTCCTTGGTCGCTGACCTCTGGCTACCACTCCAATGCGCACCCTGGTAACCTGCCCTCTATATCTACCTCCTCCTACTCCTGATTACATCTACAGCATTTTCCTGCCACGTACTATTCTATTCTTTCAGGGTCACAAGTAAATCCTAGCCACTACATGCAGTGGTAGTTGGGAATACACAAGCAAGAGTAAGCTTATTCAAAAGTAAGCTAGGGTTAGCGAAAGCTTGCTGAAATTTGGTAATATTCTTTGGGTCTTTCGGTAAAGCCACGTAGATAGAAAAATAATAAAAAAATATCACGACGTTTCGATCGCATCAGGTGAAAAAAATATACGTCGTGATATATTCATTATTTTTCTATCTACGTGGCTTTACCAAAAGACCCAAAGAATATGAATTCCTACAATCACGACAGCTTTAAGTCAATATGGTAATACTATAACGCTATAGTATTACCATACAGTCGAACCATTCTTAACGACAGTAATTGGTTCTACGAAACCAGTCAAACAGCGATTTGGTCTTTAAGCGAGGGCAGGCCATATTCAATGCACAAAGTACATATCTGTACACCTTTTCAGGTTTTCAATTATTTATTTCTTAGTTAAAACACTAATTGTCTTCCTCACTGTCTTTATTCGTAAGCATTTTTGGAGTCATAATTTCGAATGTAATTTAAGTTTTAAGTCTAAATACACCAAGAATTCAAAAAGAGATGTTTCCATTTCCAAGGGCAGCAGACACCGAATGTAAATAATGCCCCAATGCTCATGAATGAACGTCGCTGATTGGCCAAGACCTGGTCAGTAAGCGAACACATTGGGCTCTGTGGAGGCCCCTCGTTAAGCGATTAGCCGTTAACAGGGGTGGTCGTTAAGAAGGGTTCCACTGTAGCCCATTTTGGAAAGATTATTGTTGTTCTTTTATCTTAACATATCCTACTAGCCAAGTAATGATGAAATAACAACAACATTTGAGTCTATTGGTCACGGTACAAGTCTATGGGCCTCTGTGAAAGTGTGTGGGCATCCGTGAGTCTGTTAGTGTGAGATAAGAGCCTTATTATTATCATTAAATCTGATGTTAGCATATTGTAATATAGAAAAATTTATATCTCAACAACTCTAGCTTCAAGAACCCACACAGTTTCTTTCATTCGCAGACGCAGCGCAGGGGTCTTACAGAACATGGATGAGGTTTCGGATCAGGAAAGGGGCACGGCTCAAACTCGCAGTATATGTCGCGTGCTTTCTTCGCTGCCTCGATGTTATCGACATTCCGATTGATACGGCTTACGAACTTTCCATTATCAGCAATCAGGGCCACCTTGTTGAGTCCAACGGGGAAGACTTCAAACTCGCAGTAGATGTCTGCGATAGGTTTCGCCGCCTCGATGTGGTCAATTCCTCCCCTACAGAGGTAAAGGAGAGTACACAGGAAGCAACGAAGGTGAGGGGGATAGTTTGTGTGTGCACGTGTCTGTGTTGCACCTTATGGGGAGCAGCCACGCAGTGGTTAGTGCACCGTGCTATGAACCCAGTGACATGAGATAGATTCCTGGTCTTGGCCAACATTAGTGGTGTTTCGCTGATCAGGTTCCGGGCCTCCTCTAAAACTCAACCTTAAAAAGTGCAGTGTGCAAACATCAGCACTGGGGAGGCAAATGTGGCCAAGTGTGGTGCTAGCCACACCACCCCCTCATGCACTGTGAAAGCCTTCATAAGCGCTCACTATAAGCTAGGTTAAACAATTTTTTTATTTTATCAAGGCCCACTGAGCTATATAGCGCTTTTGCAGAAGCAACCTGGCCACAAATGATAGCCCATTTAAGTGGTTTAATGACGTGGAAATTTATAGCAGACAGTTACTCTAAACGCATGTTTCTAAATGTGGAGGGAAAAACCGGGGGACCCGGAGAGAAATCCACGCGACCATGGGGAGGACGTGAAAACTCTAAATATACAGGCATTAGGGTCAGGATCAAACCCACAACCTCCTGTATACCAAGCTAGGTAGCTGACATCTTGCCACTGTGGTGCCCACTAACAGCATCTGCTCCAACAACTTGTGTACATTATATGTGTAATAAGAGCCTATGTCGGATTCACGTGGTGATCGGCTTTGCCGGTCCCGCTTTACAGCCAATGGGGGGAGAGCCTGGGAGCATGGCACTCGGCGTGGTGATTGGTTTCGCTGGTCTTGGCCTCAGCCAATGGGAAGACAAGTCAGGGGCGTGGTCCCGGGAGTTGATGGGGGATCTGGAACATTCGGCGCAGGCTATTGAGGATTGGCTGGAGTGTACCACGTGACCCAGGCATTAAATAAGGGGAGAGAAGAGAGACACGGGGTCAGACACGGAACGAAGAGAGAGAGGGGCCACGTGCGAGTGGGGCTCCGGGTGCCACGTGGCGGTGTGTCTCTGGTGGCTGTCTTCCCGCTTCCCGTTGCCTGCCAGCAACGGGGAGTGTTTGTGAACTGCAAGAAGTGAAATAAAAGGACCGATTCCACAAGCCGTCTCCAGCGTGTTATTACATATGGATGATTTCTGTAATTGTCACTGTCTATGTTAAGCCTCACGGAAAATGACCAAAAAATGGGAAGCTGTCAAACTCTCACATGTGGTTAAGGGAATCATGAATATAAATATTACACCAACCATAGGTGTAGAAATATTGTCACACACCAGATAATAAGATTGACCCAATAAAGTTATACACTTCTTGTCACACGCCAATGGATTTTAAGACAACCCCAAATTCTACTTTAAAATACAGGTGGGGAAGGGTGCTTCATAATCTGTAACATACGGTAGCCATTGATGGAGTGTGCGGGTGGTGTAGCTGCACTTCGGGGTGGGGGGGGGGGGGGAGACCTGGGTCCTAGAAGCAGGAGGAGAGACCCAAGCACCAGGATATGGAGAAGGTACAGGAGGCAACAGAAGGTTGTACAAAAATACCTCATTCAGAATCAGAATATTTATCCGAGAAAACTGACGAGCTCCTTTTTAACAGATGTCCAGTAGTTTCACAGATGCTTGGTGGAGTAAAGAGTGTGTGTGGCAGTAGCGAGTGTTAAGAGAGAAACAAGTATAACTCGTAAAAACAAAGTTTTTCACTATAAATCCTTTATATGCGTGGCGGCTAGAGTCCTCTCGTCCTCTGGCTTGAGATGGCTGCCACCTATGGGTCAGATGATTGCATTGCACCATTAAGCAATTGGTAATTAAATATAATATTTTTGTCCTAAAAAGTGTACAATTTTGGAAAAAAAAATTCACGAACATTAATTGTCACGCACAACGAGTCTGTGTGGAAAATGTCAACTCGATTGGATCACGGGAAGTGGGTTAAAAAACGACCGAAAGATTTGCACGGTCGTAAGCAAGCAAGCGAACTTAATATAAAGGATTTAAAAAGGTGAGATGAAAGGGGAGAGGTAAGAGAGTGTGCATCTTGTCTTTACCTGTGGATTCGGCTCAGGTAGACCCCACGCTCGTCTCTGATCAGGATCTTGCCTCCCCCCGATGCGGATCGCATCACGGTGAATGATCCCTTCTCGTCGAACATGTCCCCGATCGCCTCGATGTTGTTAATGCCATTCCTGTCCTTGCGGCTCCAGTACTTACCATTGTCACAATAAAACATAATTGGACCTGACCGCTCCACATACTGCTCCAGGGCTCCCAGCTGCAGAATGCAAGCAGGTTTGTTCAATGTTATTATTCGTTATTTGAACTTATTTCACCATGATAGTCAGCAAATGTTATCGTTGCCACCTCTGAGGTGCAACAAAACCAGGACATATGATGGGTAGATCTCAAAATACCAGAAGATGGCAGCGGAACTGAATATAAATAAATTTTCATGATTTGAAGCTTTCGTGACTGCAAGGATTCATACTCTTAGGTTTTTTCGGTAAAGTCACGTAGGTAAAAATAAATAATAAAATATAAATTATAGAAATAATAATAGAAATAAAATTAGAAATCACGACGTTTCGGATTTATAATTTTATTTCTACTATTTCAATTATTTTTATTTTTATTATTTATTTTTACCTACGTGACTTTACCGAATCCTTGCAGTCACGAAAGCTTCACATCTAGAATACCCTCTATGGGGAGGAATTTCACCTATCTGTTAGAGTTTTTAACAGACAACGAGACAAGAAGTCACAGCTTCTCGAGATGCTGGCCTTCCTCAAGAGATGCCGCGATAACAAGGTAATACCCATCACTTTCACACTCACATCTGCTGCTGTGTCCTCACCGAACTCTAAACAGATTTTATTTAAAGCTAGCCTATCACTAATCTCGGAGAGAATAAGGTTCTCTTTCAGCCCCGCCCACCCCCCCAACACGTTCCATTCATTGGCTACCACATTCAGATAAGCTCCTCCCCCCTCCTCCCCCCTTAACTTGTATTTAATAACTTGTCTCTTGGAATTTTGCCTCACTTGATACAGTAAATCTAGCTGTGACGGTCCCACCTGATGACGGAGACTTGTGTTGCCTCCGAAACGTCGTGATTTATAATTTAATTTCTATTATTATTTCTATTATTTTTATTATATATTTTTACCTACGTGACTTTACCGAAAAAACCCAAGAGTATGAATTTTCATGAGTCGGGCATTATTACGAATTTCCCACGACAGGATGATCCTAAAAAAACCCGGAAACGTGGCGACCCTAGCAACGGATGATCCAGGACTTGTTTTGATATCACTCTTGCTTATAACACAGAAGTATATATCTTTGCAATTGCTCACCGGCAGTAGGTAAGGCACTGGCTTGAAGAGAGTGAACATGTCGGTGAATTCACTCGCCGCACGGATCTCGCGGTTGCTGCTGTCCGATATCAATAGGAACATTCCATTGTCAGCACGGAAAGCCACCGAGTTCGTGCCCTGAGGGATAACGTCGAACTCACAATGCACGTCTGGGCTGGACTTGGCCGCCTCAATGTAGTCAATGCCACTCCTAAAGGGGGTTGACATGGGGTGCGGGGTTGAGGAGATGGTGGAGGGAGTGGAAAATTAATATAAAGACGTTATTATAGTGAATGCCGTTGATGCACCACACTTCGCCAATGCTTTACATCCTCTGATAGATTCTGAAGCTGCTCTGGGGATACGCGACTCCAAGACCTGCCTTAACAGTATCGCACCAGGACTGTATGGCTTTATGTAAATATTTTTCCTTGAAAAAGCACAAAGGTTCAGTAGATAGTGTGTAGTCCTGAAGAGGACTGTACGACTTTGAGCTTGGGGAATTTGTTGTGGTTGCTTGTGAGGATATACCCACATTTGGTAGTTTGTTGTTTACCACTTAAACCTTTGTGCAGTTATTTCTGTTATGCAGTTGGTTTTTGTCTGATTATGGAATGCATAAACTTTTGTGCAGTTAGTTCTGTTCTGCAGTTAGTAATGCCTTGGAGATCATCATCATCATTGAAACCGTATGCTCCTCCTGATTACCATGTAGATAATTCAAACACGGAAACGTAATGCATAGCAAGTTTTACCCCCTTTTATCAGTTGTGAGCATTATGCGGCATTGAATAACCATTGTTGCATCCAGGGTCCTTCTGGGGATGTCTGGGGCGTGGCCTAACAGCACCAGTGACCTTTCTATGGTTGTTCCTGACCACCCCCAAAAGATTTTAGCCTCAAAACCCATAGAATTGGCATTGCCATCCTTCTCTGGGGCCACGGGGACCACAGACCAGAAAATTAAGAGCACTTGTTTCTGAAATCAATGGTGTGCCAAATCACTTTGTTTTCATGTTTCTTGTTATCTCGACTCGTTGGGAACTTTGTCTAGTGGGCAGGACAAGGAGCCACTCCCCGATTCACTCCCTGGATCCTGACTGGAAAGCAAACACCACTTTATTTTATTAAACCAATGAGTTCCCGAACAACTTTGCTCTTATGAAGTGTTTTGATATTTGGACTCCTTGGGGTACTTTGTTTAGTGGGTGGGACAGACAACAACCCCCCGATCCACACCCTGGACCCAGAGCAGACCCCACCCCCCCTCCCACCCTAAGACTTAAAAGGGGGTAATCCTTGACCACATTGCGAAGGTTGCAACTGAAAAGCTTCCAAACCCCACAGTTTTTTGTCAAGTACATGGCGAAGTAACCGACCTAAACCAAATGTTCCAAAGGGGTTCCGGGACCCCCTGGAACCCTAATCTGTTGTCCACACATTTTTAGGTGCCCGCGAACACCCATTTCGGAACCCCTTGGGGGCGGCCGGGGGGGGGGGGGGGGGCGGGCAGGGGGTTAACCTAGCCTAATAACTGAAGGCAAAAATTATAGATTACCCTCATGGGACCTCCTTTGCCAGTACCAAAATAAGAGAAGAGGTGTTTCTCCTTTTATCTGCCAAGAAAACAGGTGTTAAGTTGTTAAAACACCAAACTGAAACCTTTTACAAGGAATCATGTCTGCATTAACCACAATACTTGTGGTAAAAATGCAAACAAAAATACATACTCTTATAATATATGCATTGTCTTTGAAACTGAATGATCCACAACAGAGACAGCTTTCTTTTGTATTTTTTGTAAAAGGTTTCAGTTTGGTGTTTTGTTGCCAGATAAAAGGGGAAAAAACAATTCTCATAGATTACCCTGGGAAGGTTTCCAGTCTCCATCTTCAAAACTGTGTAAATGCATCCTGGCAAGCAAATATACACACACACACACACACCCCTTTATTGATATAGATTTTATGACATGTAAGATCCTATGCCATTTTGCTCCGATTTCTATTTTCTTCATGATGGTGGATGAGGTCACTCGCAAATGAGACTATCCTGGTCGTCTGCATTCACACCTCAGTAGACAAACAAACTTGATCATTCTACAACTGTAGCCTGCCAGACTTTATAAATCTAAAGATATTTTTTTCCTTGGGTCACTGAATTAAAAACCACCAGTACCTGTGAATGCGGCTCAGGTAGACACCTCTGGCATCAAGCAGAAGGACCTTGGAGCTGCCCTTGGGTCCGGAGATAACGGAGAAAGCGCAGCTCTCATCCATAGTTTCTCTTTTTGCCACGATCTTGCGGACCCCATCAGCTTGGTCCGCGCAGCTCCAGTAGTTACAGTCGAGAGTGGAAAACGAGACTTGGCCCGGAGCTGAGTTCAGGAAGTCAGCCAGGATCCCAAACTGAGGTCAGGGTAAAATCAAGAGGCCATGATAACCATCAATCGCCATTTATTATCTCAGTCAATATTAATCATCACAATGAATATCAATCACCCTCCCTGGAGATGGCCAGGTGGGTCGGAGATCAGAGCACAAGGCCAGCACCGCTGAGATGTTTGGTTCCAATCCAGGTGACTCATAGACGAGCACATGAGCCCATAGAAACGCATATGGGCTCCTGTAGTAGCACATAGATCCACAGACTCACAAAGACCCATAGACTCTCAAAGCCTTAGTTCTGATTAAACTGGGATTCAAGTGCAGTGAATTCATATACGCTGACTGGTCACCAATGACGGCACAAAAATCCTATTACATTAAAATTGGTTCTGCACATAGTTTGGCTAAATTCCAGCTCTTAGAATTTAAATATTGCTTTGTCATGCAACAAACATTACTCTTATATAAACAGCAGGTGAACAAGTGCTGTGCTGCACTGTGTGGACCAGAAAATACTTTATGGGATCTCAGAAGCAGCTTAGTCATATCCGCGTCTGTGGACCATTCTCTATCTAATATGAAGGGTTGCTCTGCGAGATTTCCAAATGGATATCATCTCATGATGTGACGCCAATAGCACAACCGGGATAACATTGGGGGTGTAAAAACAAGTTTCATCGTGTCAGCGGAATGAAGAAGCACAGCACACTACACACGCGACTGAGAACTACTTTGAGGAAAAGTCAACAGTGGTTGTCCTGGAGATAACATTTCCCACGCCACAGGAATATGGAATATCTACCACTGTTTTGGGGTTTTCAACAGCTGATCAGCACCGCCTCAAATGCTCATTTGACGAATAAACCAATTAGGCGTTTTCAATGGTGGAGCCAGGATTTTCAGGTAGGGGGGGGCAACCCCTCCAGCAATGAAAAATGATAGAGGAGTTGTTAATAAGTAAGAAGTTGTTAGTAAGTAAGGAGTTGTTAGTAAGTAAGGAGTTGTTAGTAAGTAAGGAGTTGTTAGTAAGTAAGGAGTTGTTGGTAAGTAAGGAGTTGTTAGTAAGTAAGGAGTTGTTAGTAAGTAAGGACTTGTCCCTTGCTTTTTATTCGACGCGTGTGTGGGCGATGGCGCAGCCATCGATCGAGGGTCGAATTAGAACCGCGTCGCGTGATCGGCGTCGCGCTCGCGGAAGTCGTGTACTGTATAAGCAACTGCGACAATTCTGCGAGTCACTTATAACCGCTTTGCCGTTATTCATTGCCAATTGTGGACTCTGACTAGTGTCCTATCATCTCATAGAGTCCCTGGCACATAATAATATGCTACACAGTGGCAGTGGGGGTCGCAAAATGCCGATTTATCACTAATAAACCCCAATGATCCGATCGAAATCCCAGTGGGCGCTTTGATGCATGAACTTAGAATTGGAGCAAGTTGTGCGAGTCTGTAGGTATCCGTGCAAGTCTATGGGTCACAGGAAGCATACATGAACTTAGGATCACAGAAAGCTTCCAAGCCAATGGAAAACATTGTACACCATGGCATACAGAAGAGACTAACAAGGCTGATGATGGTGATTGTGGCGCTTTTGGTTCTAGCCTACTTCAAGGCTCACCTTTATTGCCACCACTATTATATTTTTGGTCAGCAAAGTCACGCTCGTGTATAGTGGGTAAAGTCTAATGGGAGTAATGGATATCAAAACGGAGGCGATTTCAGAGGGTTAGTTCGTCTTAAATTTTCTTCACACAAGCTCCCCCTGCCTGCTTTCACACCATAGCATATACCTGCACCACACGGTGTGCTTACACTATACCTCATGACGATCCCTTTGTCCCCATACTTACACCTGAGGTTAAGCGTTTCCGCACACACACACACACACCCTTAACGCACGTTCAGCCTTAGCTGGCATTTACCTCCCACTTTTGGGCTACATTCACCAGAAAGCAAACGTCAAGGTGACGCTCGACGTCATCGCTCGCCATGGGCCAACCCCAGCCTCCCACCGTGGTCCGAGGAGGAAGACAGCCGGTGCCTGCTGGCTCCTCTCCACGACAAGTCAGAGTCAGAGGCAGCCTCCCTGTGCTCCGCTGCCCGTCCCTGCTCCCCCACAGGGTGTCCAAGCTGGATGCTTAAGAGGTTTTTGGGGACTGCTCCTGTTCCCTACCGGCTGGCGCTCGCAAGTATATATAGCTGCGGCCTTCTTCCATCCACCCTCCGCTATCTGGTGGCGGTGGTGGTCCTTATTTATCGGAAGCCGGCCGCATTAATGGTGATTGACACATTGTTTGTCTCTAATTTTCATCAGCTGCCTTCCCTATTACAGGTGGACCCTACCCTCCATTGTGTTCTGCCTTGACACTTATTGGTGCCATGTGACAGTGATGATGGCATGTAATCAGGAGGTTTGGCCGGTGGGCAGGTGAATGAATGGATACTTACCTGTGACTTGGCGAAATGCACCTTGAAGAGGCAGTAAGAGTCCACTTTGTCTTTGCCCGCCTCCAGGTTTTGTTTGTCACGATGAATTCGTGACAGGTACTTCCCATTGTCGGCTCTGAACGCCACGCGGTGAACCCCAAAGGGAATGACCTCAAATTCACAGAAGATGTCCTGGGTGGGCTTGGCTGCATCGATGTGGTTAATTCCAGACCTATTACACAAATGCGTGTTTAATTTAGAAGGAAATAACTTGTAATCGTATGTCATAAGCAGCATCATCACCATTCTTCATCAGTTATTCACATTTAATCCTACATCAATCAATGGTAAATCGTTATGCATCAGCCATAACCTATCCATTGCTGAATGTTCACTTCTCCCGTGGTCACCTGATGCAGTAATATGTCTCCTGTACACAAGCTCAATTTTATTTTTGCCATTTTCGGGTGAAGGCTATGGTCGCTATTTCAAATAAGACTATCCTGCTCTTAAGAGATCTCACTTGGTAAAAAAATCAACTTAAGCTTATGCAAATGAAGATAAGTGAGGAGATGTGAGATGCCTCACCTGGTGAAGCGGCTGAGAAAGACCCCACGCTGGTCTTTAATCAGAACCTTGGCTCCCCCGGAGGGGGCGTGCTCCACCGTGAAGGCACCACTCTCCTCACGTGTCTCCTTGGTCACCTCGATGCTGTGCGTGTCCCCATAAACTACAGCACCCCAGTAGCCGTTGTTGTCTCCCAGGAAGAATGCAGTCAGCCCCGTGTTCACGAACGGGGCAAGGCACCCGAACTAGCAGCACCATGCACACTCGAGAAAATTAGTGTTTAGAAACCCAGATACACACCCAACAACACCCACCATTTGCCACCAAGTGGAGGTGATGTTACCATGGCGCCTGTGCTAGGCCATGTGCACTTTGAGGTCATGTGAAGTGTCGAAGGCTCACTGACAGGAGGTCACAGGAGAGACCCAGTTGCCATGGGTTGACCAACTGAGATGACTGACAGATGCACCACGTATACCTCCTACTGTGCCAAATTGCTGAATTTTAGTGGCCTGACGCTCCGCTCATTGTTCTGAGCGTTGCTCCTCTGACTTCCATTGTTGTGGGAGTACAAGTGCCTCCAACTGACCAGTAGCGTCCTTCACGCGCCTCCTCCATAGGGCCGATTTTGACACCACTGGTACCAGTATTCGGAAAATCCACTTAGCTCCACATCCTCCCATACCGCATTAGTCCATCAGTTTAACACGTAGGCTTTCGCGACCAATATTATCAATAATAGAGATGTTTGGGTTAGATTGCATAAATATAAAAGTGTCGTTAAACCCGCCACCACACCACCTGACACAGCCCATTAGTAAGGTTTGTCACGTAAACAGAACAATTCGTTACTCGTACAGCACACCGGTGTGTTGGAGAGCCAAGCCACAACATTTACAATCTGAGTACGACGTTTCGCCAGTAATTACAACTAGCTTCATCAGGCGACAGCCAGATTTGTGAAGAAGTCCACCTGTTTAGCTCCTTACATATTTTACAAACCAGTCACAGTTATGTATTGTAATTGATATTCATACATTAACCCCCCACCCCCCGCCCGCTCTGGCCGTCGCACCTGATTAGCTCACAAGTGACATTATTTATTCCTCTATTTAAGACCTAAGCGGGAAGATTTCTCCACAACTCTTGCTGTCCGCCTAATAATGCGAGTTGTAATTACTGGCGAAACGTCATACTCCGATTATACATTTTGTGGGTTTACTCTCCAACATACCGGTGTGCTGAACTAGTGAAGAATTGACTTTAACGGTCCATTTATATTGACGCGATCTAACCCAAAAAAGTATATTATGCAGAATCATTCATTTTAACACGATTGATAATAATACATACCGTTCGACAAACACAAGCCAATAATAACTTGTGACTAATGTGAGCCAATAAATTCATTGTTTCATTTAATTAACGAATGATCTTTAATTCATAAAGTCTGAGAAACTATTATTTATGAGAATTAACAATAACCACTCCTGATCATATGCATAATAATTATCATTGATTATTATATGCATAATAATTGACCATTTATGATACTCATTGATTTTGCCATAACAGTGAATATTTTTTATTGATCACGAAATAAAAGCAATATCGTAATACTAATCAAAGCTGAATAATTAAATCAACTATAATACATTAAATAATTATACCTTAAAAAAATCATACATAAACGTCATTAAAATAATTAATGAATCAATAAATAACACCTTTACTCATTTATTACAAAATTGTAATATTTCAATTAACAACCATTTATTTTTACGAATGAGGTAATTTTCAAATTGCACACAAACATTTAACATTACATGACAAAAAATTGTGACCGCCTAATATATACTACAATGCAACGCATACGAAGTACAGATCAATAAGAGAGAACGGAGGCATCACTGGAAGAGGAAACAAATGAAATGCCAAGGACTGCCAATGGTGCAATGGCAAGAGTGACAGGGAGACGAGAGAGGATGGAACAGGAGACTTGGCTGCAAGTTACAGGCACACACAGTAAAGATACGACTCAGGCTACTGTTGTTGAAGTTTACTAAACAGTTATTCTATACTCTTTGGTTCTTTCGGTAAAGTCACGTAGGTAGAAAAATAAAATAAATCAAAAAATAATAAATCACGTCTTTTCGATCGCAACACAAGCGGTCGTCCTCAGGCGGGAAAAAATAATCCAGCAGTGGAACTGCTGAACCAGCGAGAGAGCTGTAACAACAAGAGGCTATATACAGTATGTGGCGATGGGCAAGCAAGCGGGGTCTGAGCTGGAAAGGAATTCCATCCCCGGACGCAAGTACGTCAGTTGTGTTAATGCGGGAGATTATGGTGAGAGAGATTAGGGAGAGATTAGCATGAAATGAGCTTCCGTCGCCGCATAAGAGTATAGTCCCCGCAATATGCGCACAGCAGCAGTGATAATGGGAGATTAGCACTATGTTGATGGGAGAGATTAGGCAGGGAGATTAGGGGGATTAGCAAGTTAATGTCACGTATATGTGTAACACAAGCTGCGGCGCTGCCAACTGCGCTGTAAGAGGCAAGCGCGTCCACGCAAGAGAACCACCGCAACGGTGGTCGCGCCAGTGAGACACACAGCCCATCACACAGCCAGAACCATCGATACATCGAGGCTAAGGGGGCAGAGGTGGCCATGTTAGTGAGACCCCAGCCCGTTAATGCAGAGGCACCTAACAGGGCAATGCAACTCAGAGAGTCGGAGATAACAGCCAAACGGCAGGGAAGAATGGAAGCACCACAGGAAGTTACGACTTTGCTTGGTTAATAACGTCCTGAAATTGTCTCTGCGTTTATATTTCTGGATGGCTTCATAGACAAATCTTTGATGGTAGCCCGAAGGTTTGCAGAGTACCTTTGTCTCTGAAAAAACAATATCGTGCGAGCTTACTGCGTTATAACAATGATCAGCCACTGCAGAGAAATTGGTTCTGGCGTGTTTCAAATCTGCCTTGTGTTGGCGAACACGGTCCAAGACATGTCGTTTCGTTTCCCCAATGTAACTGCTGACCACAGACACAACTTAGTTTGTAGACACCAGGGTATTGCATGTTAGGAATGACATCCTTCACAGATGGGATCAAATCATGGATTTTGTGTACTGTATTGTCTTGTTAACATTGCTGGATTTTTTTTCCGTCTGAGGACGACCGCTTGTGTTGCGATCGAAACGTCGTGATATATTTTGTTTTATTTGATTTCTACCTACGTGACTTTACCGAAAGAACCAAAGAATATGGATACCTGCAGTCACGAACGCTTCCAATCAAGTTATTGTATAGTTGAGAATAAACATGTCGCAGTTCAGCCACAACGAGCCTCTGACATGCTGGATGTTGGTGCGAACATTTTCTGAGAGCTGGGAGAGTGAGTGAGCGGGCGGGTAAGTGCTGGCATACCTTTTTCCACATGTCCACTCGCTTGCTTCTGTCGTGGCTCCAGTCTAGAATAAAAGAAGTTGACTCACTTCTAACCTTTCACGGCTCACTCAACTATCATTACTCATCACTCACCACTCCTTCAACACATTACCACTCACTCATCAATAACCCACCACTCACCTTTCACCACTTGCTCAGCCAATCGAAAATCAAATCACTCATGCACCCAAACTTTACCTGCCATGGCTGCTGAGAATTGGAGTCTCTCTTTCTGCGTCTCTGTAAGGTTTTCGTTCCACGTCCTTGAAGTTGGCGGTTTATTCGAGGTCAAATTTCAGATATCTGATGGCTATTTTCACACAATTCCTGTATTCATACACACAACGAAACAGTAATCGTCACTGGGGTTGTCCGTGAGCAGGAATCGAACACGGGTCGCTGGGTTTGTAGCCCAGTGCACTAACAGATGCGCCACCGCTCCCCCACACTCACAGCGCAGGAAATATTTATTCCACAAGCCTTTCCTTTTCCCAGTGCTCAGAGCTCCCGACACACACCCCTTATATATGGAATCTTCCATAAGTTATTCGCATAACCCCCCGCCCCCACACCCCCCCATCTCCATTGGGTTTCCTCCAATCCCGTCTAATTTTTTGCTCCTCTGTTACTACAGCGTGCCACCACACGATATTTAATGGCATTTCTTTGTAAATAAAACCTCAGGGTACGCGGGATGAGGTAATTATGAATGTATCTCTGGCGTCGCTTCTCCAAGAGGTGACATAACAGGTGTTGAGTAGATAGGTCTGATTATTAAATGTGTAAAATGCTTAAAGTAATGTCATTCTCTAGGGGTATGTGATTTTATCAATGATAAGACCTCCTCACAACCCACAGTTCATAGATCTCGACAAGAGGATACAGACTTAGAATCAAGTAACAATACAGGGACTAATAAATAGAACCACTCCAGAACCCAAAAGCACGTATAACCTAGTTATTAATAATGACACACTTTCAACCAGTATCTCAGAATAGCGTTCCGCACTATTCTTGTTCGAACTACAGGCAGTCATTGACTACGAACACTCGACTTACGAACACCTGCACTTACAAACCAGCTTCCTTGAAATATTATTTTAGTGTTTTAATCCACATCCTGCCTCACATCATACATTGCAACATTTTGACGTTCAGGGCGATAGTTCCAGGGGCATCGACATTATCAGGCACACCGCACTCACCAGAGCAGGCAGGCGGAGAGAACTGAATTTTTGGGGGGAGGAGGAGTGGGTGTTGGTCAGTCATTACCGTTCTTAGTTTAGGTATTTAAGACTGGTCTACGGTTTAGGAATGTACTTCATGTTCGTGTGTATTCAGATGCTTCAGTGCCGAGATTGGGCCTAACGAATTCAGCCACTGACCTACTCGTTTTATCCCCTTACCTTCAAAGGCCCGGAGTGACGTCGTAACGTGCGGCCAATCGTGCGCGCTTACTTGTGCCGTCACGTCATGTATCCTGTCCATGGAGTGCCGTGATCCAATCGTGCGCCTACCTCTGATTGCCGCTCACTCGGACCTTGTGCCACGGGGAAGTGCTGCTGCTGCCCCCACCCGTTGTTCTCCTGTGCGCATTTATTCTGACCTCCTGGTCTGCCCTTCTTGCCTAATATTCCACCCTCAGCCTCTCACAATGTTAAGAATGACTCATTGTGGCTGGCTCAGTGAACCTTTTTGCGCCCATACAATTTTAATCCAACTCAGGGGCACCGCAACACGATCTGTTCTGCGAGGGTCGGCCAATCTCCTCACATACATGCTGAGCAAACCTGCAAATCTGTTTCTGGGTGTCAGAAATCGGATCACTGTTTTCACATGGTTAAACAAATTCACATTTAACTTGAAATTACCTCGTTCAGACTTTTAAATTGATTCGAGTGACTGTTATTTACATACAAGCGACGCTATATTAAGTGTGGGTGGTGATTATGTATGAGGATGCTGGTACATGTTAGCTGCTGCTTCTCCTAAACGCCTAAAGGCTGTTTTGTATGATTCTATTAACTTTCATTAATTTATACCATAGTTTCATATTTTGGCATAGTGTTTTAATTTGGGTTTTTAACTCGCCAATTGTTTTTTATGAGGATTAAGGTTACCGTTTTACCTGCCAATTCCTTAGCCATCTGTGAGGCCTACCCGGTTGTATGTATGAATGTTGAATTTCTTTCATACCCAACATTCACCATGGAATTGGAAAATGATGACAAGCTACCATTCCTGGATGCTTTGATCGAGAAGAGACCTGATGGCTCGTTGTGACACTGTCTATAGGAAAGCCACCCACACGGATTCCTATCTAAAGCCTGACTCCCACCACCATCCAGCCCAGAAAAATTCCCTCATAAAAAAACTATACCATAGGGCCCCGTTGCATCTCCGACCAGCACCACCTAGCCAGTGAGCTTGAACACGTATGCCAGGCTCTCAGGAGGAATAGATATTCTAACCGCACAATCCACAAAGCTGCATCACCAACCATGGGTAGAGAGCCATCTGAGGACCCAATCAAAACCATCACCTGACCATACATAGCAGGGGTTACCAAAATGATTTACAAAATCTTGAACAAACACAAGATCCAAGTTCGGTTCAATACAGTACACAAAATCCGTGATTTGATCCCATTGGTGAAGGATGCGATTCCGGACATGCAATGTCCCGGTGTCTATCAGCTGAGTTGTGTCTGCGGCAGCAGTTACATTGGTAAAACGAAGCGACGTGTCTCAGACCGGGTTCGCGAACACAAAGCGAATTTGAAACACGGCAGAACCAACACCTCGGCGGTGGCGGATTATTGTTTCAACGCTGTGGGCACACGCGGTGACATTGTTTTCTCTGAGACCAAGGTGCTCTGCAAACCGTCGGGCTACCATCAGAGATTTGTTCATGAAGCCATCCAGATATACAAACACAGACAAAACTTTAATCAAGAAGATGCATTCAGATTGATAAATCATTGGAAGGACGTGATAAACCACGTCAAGTTTTAACTGCTATGATTTTCACTCACCCACCCGTGTGTCGTCTTGGTTTTCGGTTACTAATTCAAGCCCACTGACATTCTAACTTCTCCAGCCCCACTCGTCCCCGCACGTCACAAACCCCTTCCCCTCTCCCCCGTGAACTCCTACAGCCACGACTCGACAAACCCCCCCCCCCTCCACTTGCCCCCCCCCCTCCCGTGCCTATATAAAGCCACCAAAGGCAGATCGTTTTCTCACCTGAAGACGGGCGCTTGTCTTGAGAGACCGAAACGTCGTGTTTTATTTTGTTATTTTTTTCTATCTACGTGACTTTACCGAAAGAAACAGAGAGTATCATAAAGGGAGCCCACGCCCCCGCAACAAAGGAAGGGGGGAAGGGCTCACGGGAAGGCCCACCCCCCAATCCCCACCCCCACTATAATGGGGGGGCCGCCCCACACCACCAGGGGGGCCCATTCCACGTCACAAGTGGGGGGGCACTTCGCACTCCACGGGGAGCCCACCCCACATAACAAGGGCACATTTGTGGGGGCCGACTTCTACCCCAGCGTCTTCGCTGGGCAGGTGCGGCGCGACGTCCGCCCCTTGCCCTCCTTCCTCCACCGCGTCGATCGGCTCCCGCCGGGCCCCTCCCGTGCTGGCGCCCTCTGGGGGTACCCTTCTACAACAGCAGCAGCTTCGTATATGGGGTGGTGCCTTACCTGGCTAACAAGCGCCATGACCTCGCCAACTTCGCCTGCGCGCAAGCGAAGATGGCGGTGTACAGAACGAGAAAAAAGATGCTGGAGGGTGACACTGACGGCTGCTCTGTGCTTCCAGGGTTCAGAGGCCTGCTTAAGGCGCGGCTCCGGCTGGAGCACGCGTACCACACACACGTTGGTGATGTGCACGTCTTCTTCGAACGCTGGGGAGCCGGAAAGGCCCTCTTCACCAGCGTGGACGGCACCCACGTGTTCACCTTCTGAAGCGCTCGCTCGTCACCGTGGCGTGCGCGATGACACCACAACCACGTTGACTTTTCTTTTGTGTTGTGCGCGGTGCTTTCAGCGCCATAGCGCGTCGATTTGTAACGTTCATTTTCATTTGTTTGCTGGTGACTGTGTATTTCATATTGAAATCGCCTCCAGTGCTTTTGCTGCTGGCGGCAATAAAAGTTGTTTACAAGTCAAAGTCTCTGAGGGCCATGGCTAAACTGCTGACTCACCGCCGCACGGATGAACCCGCTTGCCTGTGCACGCCGCAGCCACGCGGCGCACAGCCGCACGACCGCGCCCACACCTGCGGGCGATTGTCTCCGAGCACGCGCGCACACGCTGCGGCTCCGTAGTCACTCCTCGTCAAATTTTGATTTCATTTTTTTTAATGAGGGTTAAGGTAACCGTTTAACCTGGCAATTCCTTGGCCGGTTGTATGTATGCATGTTGAACTTCTTTCACACCCTACATAGCCAACCGTGCTAATAGGACGTACGGGAAAGAACAAACTAAACACAAAAAGCAGTTCTAAAGAAATTAGTTTTCAATCTATATTTGAAAGTGCAGAGCTCCAGTGGCTTTCTAATATCGGAAGACCCTTCCAGCCGGCCGCAGAAACGCATCCGACAGTGCGCGATGCCGTATCCATCTTTGTTCGGTGGCGAGCCAAAAGCCGCTGCGAGGATGCCCGGAGTATGCATGATGATGTATGCTCCTTGACGAAATCCGCAAGGTATTGTGGATCATTTGTGGCAACCACTTTGTGTGTAATGAGTGCGACCTTATAATGTATTCGTTCAGCAAACAGAAGCCAACGCAGCTCAGCAAGCACTGGACGGACATGGTCACATCTTGCAGTACCCATCACGAGAAGTGCCAATGTGTACACGCTGCAGCTTGGTAATGTTTTTGCCAGATGTCCCGTCCCGTAGTGAGTTGCAATAATCGAGCCTTGTCGATACATGCCACCGTGTTGGCTATATCATGACTCAACAGTAGTCACACATGTCCTAGAGCCCTGATATGAAAATTGCAGCACGTCTGACAAACACACAAATGTACCCCTATTGTATTTGGCCCTGGTTAATAGTTGTGGGTGCGCATTATTGGGATTTGGTGTGCTAGCGGATTTTCAAGCTTTTGTGAAAAAATGGACACGCACGCACGTGTTTTGCAAACGGAGTTTGATGTGTGTGAAAATTGTACACTCTACACAAATAAATGTCTATAATTTATTTATTTTAAATATACTTGCAAATCCTGCATATCTTTTAAAACATCGTATTTTGAAAACCAAGCGCATATACATTATATTAGCTCTCTTCCCACACACTCCCCAGAATGGTATGATGATGTATATTCATGTTTAAACCAAGTCACGGTTAAGTCTTGACACAGGCAGACGTTGATCTCACGGCTGCTTCTAAAACTGTGGTACAGCCATGAGTCCATGGGTGATGCACAATCTTCACGAATGGCTTTGGCCTGCTCAGATAAGAGCTTTGACCTCTCGACAATTTCAATATCCTGAAGCAAAGGCTTTGAGTTATGATGGGAGAGCCATAAGCCCCGTAAGCCGTGCTTCATGACTGCTGCTGCTGCTACGTAGAGGAAGATGCAATCCAAACCTGAGCTCTTGCAGATGCATGAACGAGTGTCCCCCCAGAGCCGTTCGACACGGGAATGAAATAAAATACAGCACGTAGTTTGCAGTGGTGCACACATAAAAAAGGCTCACTCCATGCAACGTTAAGAACTATCTTGAACAGAAACAGCTTGTTGAAAAAAAAAACTATGAGTTTTAAACTTCCTTAATGAGAGCTGTGAAATTAAGGTTAGGCGCTCCATAAACCCCTTAGTGACCTCATTCCCAATCACAAAATTATTATTTGGCTTTGTAAAACAAAAGAATAATGTTCTAATGTTTGGGCCAAGGCCCTTCAGAGTTGAGGCAGTGGTAACGACAGATTTGTAAAAGAAAAAAATTGCTCGTGCACCACTGTTAACAGTTCCTTGATTATGTTGTTAATTCTGCAATGGAGAGACATCAACTGGAACAAAGATGTAAACGTGTGAAATATGCCCGGGACAAAGTCTAAATGGGGAAACAAGTGCCTCTGTTGGGTGGTTGCTTCTTAAAATCGGGTCGTCCCTGTGTTCACCTTTACTTCCAGTTACTTGGAATTAAAGCATAAAATATGAGCAAACTTTTGCAATATTTTTTCATTGAAAACCATATATGTAAAGGGAGACGACGGTACTTGAGTTTTATCCAACAGGACATTGTCCAAGACCAGCAGACTCCAATAAATGACAGCCTCTGCGTATCAATATTACAATACAATACCTTGCTGATATCGTCTAGGAGCACAAACCATCACACAAACTCTGGTCATCCACGCAGTGGCTTTTGGCTCACCATCGAACAAAGATGGTCACTGCATCGTGGGCTTTCAAATGTGCTTCTGCAGCCGTCTGGATCGCTCTTCCTTCTGATATTAGGAAGCCACTGGCTATACACTTTTAAATCTAATTTTATTTTATTTAGAACTGCTTTGTGTTTAGTTTGTTGACCTTCCCTCACACCTCCGATTAGCACGGTTGGCTACGTATGGTGCGAAAGAAGTTCAACGTACATACTTACTCTTGATGAGATACCAACTGAAGCAAACACTGGCAACCTAAGTGTACAGCTGGGTGACGGTGCCTTACAGATGGAGCATTCTGAACAATGATAATGAAAAGTGAACAAAGGTCTGAATGGGCCAGGTGAAGCAGCAGAGCCGACCTTGGGTTTTAGGTCAGGGTTTGTCCTGGGGGCTGGTTTGTTAGAATTGGGGGAAGACCTAGTGTCCTCTGCACCCTACCCCCTTCACATCCTTGCCAAATAATGTTTCACTTTGATCACTTTTCATTTCAGCGGCTGACTGCATAAAACACAAGTTATTGATGTTTACCTTTAACTTGCACTACTCTACACAACTCGAGGGTAGCTCCACTTAAGTGATTTGTTCAGCCGGCCACTGGTTTTACTGTTCACGACGCCGTACATTCACGAGTTACACGTTTTCATAACCGAGTGTGCATGTACCGACGTGGACAAATCAAGAAAATCCCCATGCCTGTGGTGGTGGAAAACTGGACCACACCATCACCACAAAGCTGCTCTAAAGAACGATTGCACACATCCATCTCACGTTCACACATGTGGTGCGGGTGAACAATTGCAGCGTTAAAGGAAGGGGGAGAGGAGGGCGGAGGTGACAAGCAACCATGGGACATGTGTGGTCGGTGCTTCCTGATGCTGAAATGAGCAGAGGCATTTGTGCTCCTCTACGATTCACAGCCCTGAGCAAGCGGTGGGGAATCCAGATTCTTATGGCAGGGGCAAATCAAAACGGTTGATTTTTTCCAAAGAGTAATACTTTTATCAACGCCGCAGGCATGATGCGCTCCGCAACCCCTAACCAGACATTAAATTTGCAACTTTATTTTTGTGAGCTGCTTGCTCTACCCCAGAGCCACCAACAAGTTACAACCAATTGGGATGACGAATTATACTGTATTAATTTGGGGAAGCATAGTACTTTACTTACCGCCACCATAAAGAATTGTGGAATTAGATGCCCTCTGTGCATGCCAAATTGCCTGCCCGTTGCCTATTTGTTCATACCTGCCATCACAGATGAACAAAGCAATGATGAGAAATAACTGGGGGAAAGAGCATCAAACCAAAACACTCGCGACAGAAGCGGGGTACACAGCAAGTGGGAGGAGGCGGCGATGGGTTTGGGATAGGGTCAAGGCCATATTGGCTGCACTGCCATCTTTTACAGATACAGTATCCCAAGCTAAAGTACATCCATTTTCCATATAACACAATACTGTACTTCAGAGGTAAGATTTCCTTTTCAAATATCTAGTGCTTGCCAGAGCTTGGGGTGGGGGGCTACTGGTGATTGGATGCCTTGGTGTCTCAATGGATGCACCAAAAGCAAAATTTAAAAAGCACAACATTGAATTATCACACAGCAATAAAAGTGGTATTATTAAAAACAATAATTAAAACACATTTGTTCAAACCCATTAATAATTCTGCAGAGTGCAACAACTAAGTTATGGTGTCGGGACTTACAGATACCTCAAGACACAACTGAAATGTTGGTAAAATTATATTATTATTTTCAAGGCTTTGGAATATGTGAATGAAATAACGCAGTTTTTTCATTTTACCATGTCGGGGTTTGTTTCTACAACTGCCTGACACAGACAGGTGTTAATATTATTAACGTAATTTTGTTTCCCCATTCTGCCTGGGTAAAACTGTAAAGACCTAGACAGACACGACTAAAAAGACATGCATTGTGATGTGAAATAGAAGCAAATAGTGTGTGGGTGAAGCGCACTAGAAAACCAAATGCCAACTTTACTCCCGACCCAAACCAACGAGCCAACCAGCCACGAGTACTGGCTTTCCTAGTAACCCAACCAAGTCAAGTAGCCAGCGAGCCACGAGCACTATCTTGTCAGCTAACCAACTAGACAACCACCGAGTGTGGCCCCCCAATCCCGCTGACCATCATGCTACCATGAACCACACGTCAACCTTTTTAAGTGTCCGTGCTCACAGTGCATTCATCGAAATGTACTGTCAGAGGTCAACTTGGCTCATCATGCGTCCACTGTTTAAAAAAATAGTACTTCTTTGTGAAAAATCAACATTGGGTTGTGCTATAGAATTGCTCATAGTAAGGCAGAATTGCAAACACGAGCTTCGGGTGAAACAACCTGGTGCCCTCCTTCCAGTGCTCGTCTGCGACCACCATATTTACTTTAAGATGTTTCTTGTTCATGTTTTTGTTTGTTGCGGTTGCACCCGATTCCAGAGCCGAATGGCTCACAGGGCTATACCCAATAAATGAACATGAACCGTCTTTTGTTTTGCCTAGCAGACGTGGGACATGCCACGGAATTGATAACAATATTAAATGCCCCCGTATCTCTACCCACCAAATCCTCACTCGCTTCATGTCTTTTTCAGGAAACTCCTGCTTTTGACGTTTAGTGGCTTTTTTGTTGAATAATTTTGTGTGCGGGGGGAATCCAGAGAAAGCCCACGCAGACAAGAGGATAACACTGGTTTAGCAGCTGACTTGCTCCCCTGCCTGACACCTTGTGGCCCCACAGGATGGGAGTAGCTGTTTATAATCTGATAGCGTGAAGTTTTCACACTGATTCATTTTACGTGTGTCTCTGCAAAACGTGAGACTTGAATACGATTAACGTACATTTTGTTCTAATCAAAAGTGCATTGTTTTACTTTATGGTGCTTAACCATAACAAGTATTAACTGCATTAATAAAATGCACCATTTCTGTTTTCTTCAAAACCATCGAGTCTCTGCTTCCTATACAGTTTGTTACTACAGTAGAAAAGTGTTCTGGCTGGATGACCTGGGTGGGTTCCTGTCTGGCTGTGGTGCTACACTCCCAAGTGCACGGTACATCACCCGCGTCCCACAGCACTGAGCCGGTTCGTGCGTCGCGCCGTCGTCACCCCCCCCACCATCCATTCCGGATGTGTATTCCAAACAAATGTGCGGGATACTCTATCGTGTTGTCATATCATCATCATCATCATACTCGATCATACTCAAACTAGAGCAAAGGGAGGAGGTGAGGCAGGAGATAGAGGTATAGGGTGGGGAGATGGAGAAGTAAGAGACAGAGAGGCGCAGAGAGTGGAAGGGGATGAAGCGGCGAGGAAAGAGGACGGCAAGAAGGGAACATGAAAAGCAGTGGGAGAGATGATTAAGAAGAGGAAAGAGAGATTGAGATGGGAAAGGTCAGAGGTAGGGATAAGGAGAGTGAGGGTGAGAAACAGGAAGAGGGATGGGGGGGGGGAAGTGGGTGAGATACAGTGGAGGGAAGAATTAGCAATAACAAAGCGAAACATCGAGATAAATGTTGATGTACAGTTCTGAGACGGCAAGAAAAAGGGAGTAGCACAGGGCTCTATATACAAATAGAAGTTTTGCTGGCTGAGAGAGATTGACGGTCACATTCAAAGAACAGCTGGGTTGCTAGTTAGTCGTGAAATTAAATTACCACCAAGTGTTTACAATCATTTAACATTTCATTTATACTCTAAAGGGCACATTAGGCTCAGTCCAACTACACCATTGTGTTGTAGAATAGTTAAAAAAATACATTACCAAATTATGTAAGGGAACTAAAATAATAACAGTTTTTCATGAAGCCAGTGCCTGTGAGAGTTAGTATGAATGAAGAGGACATTCTCAATAAACTTCATACAGCAGCACCCGGCCTGGGCTGGCTAGACTCTTTCACCACTCAGCCCATGCAATTCTGGGCCTACCACAGACTGGCCCTTATTTACTTACTGCTGGAGAGTACTGTATGGTAACCATCGGTGCATAGAGTTCGACAGACAACTTTGAAAACAAAACAATCCATAAAAATGATGTCTGATGAGTTTGAATGGCGAAACCTGTCCAGTTTTAGTGTATTGAACCAATGCCGATAAAATTATGCACTGCTTGCAGGCCATGTGATGTGTAAACAATACTTACATTATGTAGAGGGACAGATATGAGAAGTAGGCATATTGTCTGCTAAATAATTGTCTCTGAATTGCAGACCTGTCTGCCAATTGCATTGGTAGTATGCACTGGGCCTCGTGATCTCTGTAATGAGCTCACGGTAACGATACGTCTGCTTGTTCCGTAGTACAGAGCGATTGCGCTATCGGTATCTTGCCAAGAGATCATGAAGCAATTACTATTTAGAATTCACAGTGAACAGTACACCACCATGTTAGCACAAAACCTCTGGAAGATGACGTGACATAAGTGCTTCTGATGTTCCCTCATTTGCCTTTTATGCACACTATGTAGGTGTTGGCGCTCCTTCTTACATGTCTTACTATGCAGGTGTTTGTTTGTCATGTAGCAATCGAAAAGAGAAGCCTATAAAGATATGGTATCCAAAGCTGACCATCTGTGCCCACATGGAAAACCTGCAGACTCAATGCCTCTCAACACCACACTACCCACTCAGCAGCCCCAATGTCCACACTATATTAAATAATTACATTATATAGCGGATATAACGGCAAGAGGGCAAGTGCATTCGAGTTAGAGCGCACACACGCACCACACTCTTATCTACAATACTCATTGCGAAGCGCAGTGCGCAATACTGCCAGTTACATCCTGCAGTAAGACACTACCGCTCTGAGAAACATGACTGCTGCCAATCACAAAGGTATCCAGAGCCCAGGGGACAGGGGAATGGGAACAACATAAATATGTGCATTCTCCAAATTTCATTCCTGTTGTGCTATTGGTGCCAAGTTACGAGACCTACACATTTATATCCATAACTCTCCATGAGCAAAGCACCACCTTATGTTAAAGAACGGTCTTCAACACAAGGTGGTGATGTCTTCAGATGTAGTTACATTCAGAACTTAAATACATCCGTAATCTATTGTATCGTATTGCCTGTATGGGAGAGAGGGACCCACGGGGCTAAGTTGAATGCAGAAATTTCTGTCAGAGCGGCAATGTTTCACTCCCAGCGAGTGGCGAAACAAGGCAACGAGTGCAGGGAAAGTCGCTCCGCACCTGAGGAACAACCCACCTCCCCAAGCCCAGGATGACTCTGGGGATTTGTGACAGACATTTCCAAATGAGGCGCTGCCTAGCCCTGTTAACCAGAATCCATGTGGACTGCATTTTGCTGTTGAGAAATGGTGCGATGCCAAGCTAGGAGCCAGGGAAGTGAGTGGTACACGCAATGTGGAAGTGAAATGCGACTCTTGGATTGAAGCGACGACAGCCACAGGTGTCGTATCCTTCCCTGCCAACGCCTGAGCTTCCAAGCCCTTTCGGTGTCTTTCGGACAGCCACTCACTCACTCTGCTTTTCTACCCTTTAGTGCAGTTCCATGCTCCATTCGTGCTTCACTAGCATGTCCGTAAAATTAAACACTGTTTAGTCAACCTTCAGTTCCAACGCTGCTGGAAGTGCGAGTCTGTAGCAGCTCAGTGCACTCCATGATCACAGTTTAATACCCACGGACCTTTCAGAACTGTCTGTCAGTGCTGGGAAAGAGACCGGACGAAACCTCCCTGCCAAACTACATTCACCTCCTTTGTTCTGTTGGTTTTAATAATCTTACTGAGGGTAAATTACAGGATTGCACCATTTCGTGTGGTTAAGAGATGCGTTTTCTTTCGTGCTGCTTATTTGAAGCCTTTAAGTCACAAACGTTGCTGTGGAAGCAGTGCAAAAGCTCAGTTCCTGCCATCATTTAGACGCAACGGAGCGTGGCACGCTCTCCCCGTGTGATAAGGCCACAAGGACGGCCCACCATTTATCCCGGCCTTGGGGAGGGGTGGACACATCTCCCCGGAGCATGGCCGAGGGTAGCATTTGCCGAGTGGGAGATCAGGGAAGGGAAGGTGGTGAAGTCCGTGGCAGGTAGCTGTGTCCGTGGCTGTCAGTACTAGCAGCTGCGTCTATGGCATTGTGCCCATGGTGGGTAGCGCTGCCCATGGTGGGTAGCGCTGCTCTTGGCAAGTAGTGCTGTCTGTGGTAATTAGCCATGTCCACGGTTGGTAGCAGTGTCCATCGCAGGTAGCGTTGTCCGAGTAAGTTAGTTGTGGCCATGGCGCGTTGCGGTGTCCATGGTGGGGAGTGGTGTCCGTGGTGGTTAGCTGTGTTCGTGGCAGGTAGTACTAGGCGTGGCGGGTAGCTGCGTCCATGGTAGGAGGTTTCAGAAGCGCGACGTGGAGAGTTCGTAGAAGAGCACGTATGCCTCACTCGAGCGCACCTGACCTATGGACAGAGGGGTCACCCTGCCCGAGGTAGAGAGAACACAGCGGTGAAACATGGGGCGACAGTTCCTCGTACTCAATGCAAACAGATCTCCTGGAGTGTGCGCCATCTTGTCAGATCTCAGAAGTGAAGCAGAAGTGAGCTCGGGTAGTGCTTGTATGGGCAACCACCACTGCACATTGTAGGTTGTCATCGGGTTGTGGGAATACGTGGTGTACAGGAGAGGGCAATGCAGTAAAATCCAATTGTTGTACTGTGCTTCTATGCTGCCACAAGTTGATAAAAGATGCCCTGCGTGTGCATGCTGGCTGAATGGGGAGCGGTGGCTGAGCGGTTAGCGCGCTATACTATGAACCCGCTGACCCGAGTTCGAATCCCGCTCATGGCCAACACAAATGACGATTATTTAAACCGGTCCCTGGGCCTCCCCTAGGTCAACTCAGCTTCAAATGAGTAGCTGGTGCGGTGTGTAAACATCGCTACCAGGGAGACAAAGGCATGGTGCTGGTTACCCACCCCTTCCTGTGCTGTGCTGGCCTTCATAGATGCTCGCTAACAGCACTTGCCTCAAAAGTTTGTTAAGGCTATATGTGGGATCTTTGTATTTGTCTTTGTGCTGGCCACATGGCCGCTCACCGCGAGTCATTGTAGCAGTGCCACTCAGAGCTGCCCGGCGGCCGCCCGTACGCGATGTAGTGCCCGCCCATGGTGGTGCCCGAGTGGTTGGCCACGGCGTACAAGTTGTACACAGCAGACACTGAGAGGGAGGGCAAGGAGGTGTGGAGACATGGGAACAGTGTTGGTCATGCACACAGGGTGCGGAAAAGGTGGTGGCACCAATGAAGCAGCGTGGACGTGAAAAAAAGGAGCCTAGCTGAAGATCCTATGGCAGAACCTCCTGATTGCACACAATTCAGGTGGCAGTGGATGATCATAAACTGATTTAGGACTTCTGATGGGTGATGTGGATATCTGATGCACAAGTAGCGATTAAAAGACAATCCCATTTATAGACCAGATATTCAGTCACCATGTGCCACATCGTGGCAGCTGCCACTCGAGGTGCCCTTTCAAATGTGTCAGATATGATGTATCAGGTGTAAAGCAATGTGAGATGCCCCGGTGTAAAAGGGCTCTATCAAAAACAAGTAATTATTATAATAGGTTTTTCCCCTTTTTTCTAGCAACAAAACAAGTATTAAGATGTTAAAACACCAAAATGAAACCTTTAACAAGGAATCATGTCTGCATTAACCACAATACTTGTGGTCAGAATGCAAACAAAAAACATACTCTGATAATATATGCAGCTGTTAGACCAGTGGACTCCTTTTGGCGTCTTCTGGTCAAACACCGTTTGAGACGAGGCTAAAAATAAAGCTGTCTCTGGTGTGGACCAATCAGTTTCAAGGACAACGCATCTATTATTAGAGTAGATTTTTTGTTTGCATTCTGACCACAAGCATTGTGGTTAATGCAGACATGAATCCTTGTAAAAGGTTTCAGTTTGGTGTTTAAACATCTTAACAACTGTTTTGTTGCCAGAAAAAAGGGGAAAAACCTATTATCATATTTTGGTACTGGCAAAGAAGATCCCATGAAGTAATTATTGCCTGTTTTCGTAGCCGATGTTTCACGCTCGTGCGGATTGTTCCAGGGACTGGCCTCACCATTCTTGTCAGCAGCAAAGTTGCCCAGGTCGAGGTCTCGTAGGGGGAAGTCCACGAAGGTTGACAGCTTGCTGGTCTGGTAGCGGCGGGATGACTCGGAGAAACGCTTCAGGTCTGAAGACGATTGCAGTTCAGGGATAACGCAACAATGCATTTACAAAATCTTTATGCATCTCGGAAGCTAAGTAAGGATCAGTCTGGTTAATGTATGGATTATAAACTGCCTGGGGACACCTGGTTTTGTAGGATTGAACTAGGAGGTGGCCAGCAGATCCAAGTACACCAATGAGTTATTGAATCTGCAAATCTTTGAGCATAACCCCTCAAACACGTGGTGGGTTTTCTCTCATTTCCTCCCAACAAAAAGCTAAACACTCATTAATGAAACCACCACAAGACAGGATCCTCATTAAATGGGGTCTTTAGACTTGGGAAAGCTTCCCCAAGTTAAAAAAGTGTCTTTTTATTCTAGCAAGCACTTTTTATTCTAGCAAGCACTTTTTATTCTAGCAAGCACTTTTTATTCTAGCAAGCCCTTGTTATTCTAGCAAGCCCTTTTTATTCTAGCAAGCCCTTTTTATTCTAGCAAGCACTGCAGCACAGCACTTTCTTTAGGGAGCACTGTGGATGTGAGGGTTTCTAGGCAAAAGTAGCTACAGGGGCAAATAATAATGTGACAATGTGTCACAATTTTGCAAGTTGCAATTTAGCTTTGATAACATAAGGCAAACACGTTTTGGAAGGCATATAAAGGGTTTACTCTAACTGTAGGTAGTGATCAAATAAAGTGACTTCTGAAGTAGTTCTGTGACATCATCTTCCAGGGCCGCCCAGGTTAGTCCACTGCTATTTGCGAAAGTTATAAATGACAGAGACCCACGACACAGGTAGCTTTTACAAGTAGGACTATCTGGGGGTCCGAATATAGAAAAACTAAGTAAATCCTACCAGGCAGCGTATTGAAAAGGCACCAAAACCTTATAACGGAAAATGCAGAGTATTTTTATCGTATTATATTTGTTGCTGTTTGTTAAAAAATGTACAACATATTTAAAAAGTACTGAATATATCCTCAATTATAGATAACGTATACAATTACTTAGTTAACATGTCCTTAATTATTTTTCTATTTAAAGCTTTCATGACTGCAGGGATTCATCTTCTTGGTTCTTTCGGTAAAGTCACGTAGAAGGGAAATAATAAAATTTAAAAAAATAACAAAAAATAAAAATAAAAAGGATTTTACTTTTTATTATTTCCCTTCTACGTGACTTTACCGAAAGAACCAAGAAGATGAATTCTTAATTATTGTCAACATATTAAATCATGCGCAAAAACATATTAAATTGATACACTGCTATGTTACTACCTATGTTCACTTCTGTTTGGATTGAGTGTGCGATGCATTGCTGTGCTCTGGGTGCCACAGAGCCACCTTCCCTCCACAAATCAGGACGCCATCTCCATAGAGTAGCAGTGTGGGTATGGGGAACACAATCCTTAAAATAAGATGCATTCGGCTGTGTTAATGGTGAAAAAACTTTGATTTTGTAAAATTATATATGACGGTTGCTCGTTTGGGATGATTTACTTATGCAATGCTGCTTGTGGTCGTGTAGGCCTTTGTCTACAACCTGTTTTACAGAATATTGACCTGAGATTGGAGTGTTCTGCTCAGCTGACTGCAGTCTCCTGCATCCCCTCAGATTCTGGGCCTGGCTAACTGCAAATCCCTGTCTGCGATTTCTGTGACATTTATCGCTCCATACACTTCAGTCGGGCTGTGGCTGAGGTAAGTTGTATATTTATCTTCTTGGTTCTTTCGGTAAAGTCACGTAGAAGGGAATTGTTTTATTATGTTTTATTTTTATTATTTTATTATTTTATTACTTCCCTTCTACTTGACTTTACCGAAAGAACCAAGAAGATGAATCCCTGCAGTCACGAAAGCTTTAAATCGAAATTGTATATTTATGTTATGAATTATGTTAAGTAAATGTGAGTGTGATTTTGCATGCAAGTATTTGTGCAAGAGTACGTGTGTAGTGGTCTCGAGGGGGCCACGGCGGTGTGGAGACAGTGCCGTGTGAGGGGTGGCACTGTAAGGGCGGAGCCCGGGTGTCGCTGTGAAGGGGGTCGCGTCAGGACGTGACCGCAGGTGAACCCGGGAGGGCACGTGACCGGACGAGGGGGGGGCAGGGAGGCCCCCAGTCGGGGGTGAGAGGATCACGTGATGGGGATCCAGAGTCCCCACGAGGGTTCTGGAAGGGGGGCGTGGCCAGGGGCGGGGCCGGCCACGCCAGGGGAGTTATAAGCGGGGTCCCGGGAGGGATCGCAGCGTTCTACTCTTGGAATGAAGTCGCCGTCCTCAATCCTCGGTCTCCGGGCTTCACGCGTGGACCAGGCAGCCAGTCAGCTGCCCTGGTCCGACTTTAGAATTGTCTCTCCGAGTGACAGTTTAGTGAGCCGTGGTGATCTCCACCCTATGCTGTTATCCTATTAGAATTACCCGTTGTGTTAAATAAACGTGTTGCCTCCAAGTACAAGTGTGCGCCTAAGTCAACACACTACACGTGAAATCATTCGAGTGTGTTACTTTGTGCGCAAATGTCTTTATGTGCGTGTGTGAGAGTGTTATTTGTGTGTTTATCTATCGTGTGCCATGAAAGTGTAAATACTGTGTCAGCAAGTCTCGATGTGAAGACAGGGTGTCAGAGGCTGGATGTAAAGACAAGGCGCCAGCAAGTCTGGAGGGTCTTGGTTGGGAAATTCCCCAGAGTGTCCAAAAGAGACAGCTGGGGAAATTCCCCCAGAGAATCCACGAGGATAAAAGCAGGGCCAGGGGGGATGTTCGAGGCTGCGGAGGGGGACTCGGGCCGCCGTCGTCGCTGTCTTCATGTCGCTGTCTGTTTGGTCATAAAATCCCTACGTCAGCATTAGCTCATGACGACGTGGTCCTAAGCTACAATTACGTGCAATAAAAAAAAACCTCTAATAGTCGAGTCGGGAGTCGTTACATAAGTAGTAATAAGTATTTGTTAACAGTCTGTTAAAAGGCTATATTGGGAAGAATGTTTTTGTATATTTGTGACAGTGCGTGTTTGTGTGCATGTTTGTCTGTGTTTGTGAGAGCGGGCGTGCCTGTACGTAAGTAATGGCAAAATTAAGGGTGGCCCTGACTGTTCACGGAAATGTACGCAATACCATTGTGTGAACCCGGTAGGGAATCGGAAATGTGACAAATCATGGACTACGCAATATTTTAATTGCACAAGCCGTTTGGTACTCAGGGCACTGGTCTGAAGTTCTCACCTGGTAAAGCAAAATAAACTCCACTAAAAACATAGCACAAAATATTTCCTTTGCGAAGCATTTAGACTTTGACAGGAAATAGCGGTAGTGATTTTGAAATTTGATAACTCAGGCCCAAATGCCTTCACAGCAGTTGACTCGCCACACACTAATTGGCCGTTCTCTTACCTGCAAACCTGCAGGCAACGTAACGTCAACAACAGTTTGTAGCCTTCAGGGAGTGTGCGACATGCCAAAAATGTGTCACACATTCTCAAAACAAGACGTGATTGAAGAAATAAAAGCACTTTTACTTTAGATGGGGGTTTTTTAATCACCTCAGTTTAAATATTGGAAGCTGCAGGAATCCATACTCTCTGGTTATTTCGGTAAAGTCACACCACAAACCCCTCCCCCCTCTCCCCCCGTGCGAGCACCCACCCGTCCATGCACGCCACAAAACCTCCCCCCCACTCCCCCGTGAACTTCTGCAACCACGACTCGACAAAACCCCCCCCCCCTTCCCCGCCTATATAAAGCTACAACAGCAGATAATTTTCTCACCTGATGACGGACGTCGTGTTTCTTTTATTATTTTTTATATCTACGTGACTTTACCGAAAGAACCAGAGAGTAAGTTTAAATACCTGAGAAAATGAGGCATCAATAAACAGCTGATATAAGCAGCCTGATCTTCTATCTGGCCAGTTGGCTCAGCAGTAGATTGAGTGGAAGGTTGCAAGTTTAAATCCTGCTTAGGAATTAAATCAGCCTATAATTCCTTTGGGGTCAAGAAAATAAGTACCACTTTGTGGGGAAATCCACAGTGTCCATCACAGGAAAGAGGAATCTCCAACACTGGCTCAGGGCTGTAAACAGATGGGAACCGCCTCAATGCTCACGTGAACAGGGAATCACTTTTTGATCACCTAAATGCAGACTACAGAACATTTGATATTACCACGTTAACATAATGCATAACAATATATACAGGCTATTGTGCCTCATTGAAGGGCTACTGCCTGAAATGGTAGCCGACTCAGCATCTATATGTTAATGATGGTGGACATTTGTTTAACTTGGCTTGAACACCACTGCCAATTCAGTCCCTTATTTATGGATGTATTTAAAGCCACAGCTGAGCACATTTCTTTGGAGCTGGCCATGGTACAAGGGCAATATGGCAACTGAGATGAGTGGTAATTGCAAAGGATACGTAGGACGAGGATTTTGGGAAACTTCTGGATTGTGAACTTCTTAGTGCATTTCCTCCGCGCCTTGCAACGCGAGCATGTCTGTATGGGATGGGGTGGAACCGAGAAACAACGATCAGTGTCAAATGTTTAAAAAACCCATTGGGAACTTGTTTCATTAATCCAGAGACCACAAATAGTATTAGATTTAAATATCTTGACAATAATTTAGACTGAAAATGAACCTAAACCAGGGGTGTCCCAACATTTTGCTCCGAGGGCCAAATTTACTAAAATATGATACCTACATCTAGATTACGTTCGTGAATGATTTCATTGCCACTCACCGGTCTTTCGTCTCCATCCAGGACCTCCTCCTTGGTGAAGAGCCGTATGCAGTCGACGAGGGAGCAATCGTATGACTTCTGTGGGCAAGCAAGGAACAGATCAGGGCAGAGGAGAGCACATAGGGGGGAAGGGGCAGCCCCAAAAGGCATCTACCACAGCCTGATTTGCAATCTCAATATCACTTGAACAATACCACTTTTAACGAGACTCAATAGATTTATAAATGTATTTTCTCTGTGATTATTTTTTCGTGTTACGTGCATCTTTTTCCCGTTAATCAAGTATTCTTTTTTTTTTTCGAAGTAGCGGGGTTTTATTTTCATATTTTTTGTACGGAACTGGGAAATTGATGTGCTGCGTTGTGGGATGCAATTGCATGAATGACGCTATATAAAATAAAATTATTATTCTTATCAATAGTAAAACCATGAATCTGCTCAACATAACAATCTCATCTGCCCTCTCATGTAATGGCTATATGAATAATCTGGCTAAGGAGGCATCGAAGAAGCATAGTTTTTTTCCATACTAATGTCTTCTTTAACTCTAAACAATTATTACTACGAAACAAAGCACACATTGTGCCTCAGTTGGATACTGTTGTCATATCTGGGGTGGATCACTTGGTTCTTACCTCACTGCACCTGAAAGAATTCAGAATAAAGCAGCTTGGGTGGTTGATCATCCAGAATTCACCAATTCACTCAATCACTCACCTCCTTATCACTCTTCTGTCACTATTTCCATAGTTACTTTGCCCGAGAACTTCACTCATTGATTCCTCCACTCATTTTGATTAATCGGTCTAAAAGACTAAACCGTTTTACCTCATCCATACTGTGTTCAACCACCACACCGCAGATAACAACACTTGTAAACTAAAATAAAACTAAAAACTTTTTATTTTACTAGGTCAAGGCCCACACAGCTATACACCTCTTTTCAGAAGCGACCGGGCCACAAAGGATACCCCCAATGAATTGTCTTATCATGTGGAAATTTATACCAGCCAAATACTCTAAACCATATGTTTCTAAATGTGGAGCGAAAAACCGAAGGACCCGGAGAAAAATCCACGCGACAACAAGAACATGCACACTCCATATATAGAGTTCAGGGTCGGGATCGATTCCACGACCTTATGTATACCTGGTGAGGTAGTTAACATCTCGCCACTACGGCGCCCCTCTTTAATGCTACTTCCCTCGCACTGCTAAACTTTGAAATTCCCTCCCATCATGTATTGTCCCGCGCTCTTATTACAAACGTGCTTCTTCAAAACACGTGTTGCCTCATCCACTACAATTTTGATAAGAGTGCTTTTTTTGCCTGTGCTCAGAAATAATTTTATGAAAAAAATACATTTATCCTCCCTTTTAAATGAAAATGTCAGCTGAAAAACAAACATTCTAAACACATAGATGCCATCTGTAACAAGGTTGTGTGTACGGTGGCTGTGTGATGCAAGTTGGGAACTCTTGTGCAATGACGTTGTTACAGAGTAAGGAAGTGAGGTCACATGCCGCAATGACATTACTAGAGTAATGTTGACAAAAAAAATGTATCCTTTTTTTTCATTAACAAAGCTTCTAACAGCTTGTGACACAGCCTATAAACAGCGTATATATTCGTTTTCCAACTACTCCTCACTGACCTGCGAGATGGGTAGCGAGAGGTCCCAAAAGGGGTCAAAAGTCGTCGAGCAGAAGTCGCAAGTGCTGCACTTGAGCGAGCTCTTTAGCTGTCCCACGAACAAGTCTGTGAAGCGGAAGGCAGCAAGAGAAAATGCAAAGCAATGCTTGAATCACTTAATGATTCTTGTAGTTAAGTCAAAATAATTTCCTGCTCCTGTGAGCATTGTGGCATTGGCACTCATTTCCTTTTTACGGCCCAGCCAGTGGTGAAACTTCCGTATTCGTATGGTGAAGACGAGTCAATTCAAAAGACAACCATTGTTGACTGTCCCACACAATCGTATTAATTTTTCTGGCCCCAGAGGGATGATGTGCTGAATCCACTCCCATTTAGGATTTGAACTACCAACCTTCCGATTGTGAGCCACATGGTCTACTGCTGAGCCACCTTGGCAGATCGTGACAATATAATTTCTTGAGGAGTGAATTGTTACACTTCTTCTCCACAGTCTATAACATCACAGATGTGATAGTTGCAAATTATTGGTGGTGTGAAGATGCAGATGAAACCCCATCCATCCTGCACTCACCTACAATCTTGCTGTTCTCTTTCTCTAGGTACCTTTTCCACATCCTCTTTGCCTTCTCATCATCACTGTGGTAGGAGAACAGGGAAACACGGTCAGGCTCAGATTGCCAGGCACACACTAAAAATCCAGTGCATTTGAAGCAAGGGTGGGTGGCAGTGTTGAGTGTGTCGATGTTCAGTATGGCGGTGTTAGAGTTGTTGCGCGTGACTGTGTTGTTGTGGCGCACGTGGCGGTGTTGAGTTGTTGCACGTGGCTGTGTTGTTGCGGCGCACGTGGCGGTGTTGAGTTGTTGCACGTGACTGTATTGTTGTGATGCACGTGGCGGTGTTGAGTTGTTGCTCATGGCTGTATTGTTGTGACGCACGTGGCGGTGTTGAGTTGTTGCTCATGACTGTATTGTTGTGATGCACGTGGCGGTGTTGAGTTGTTGCACGTGGCTGTGTTGTTGTGGCGCACGTGGCAGTGTTGTTGAGAGTTGCTGCGTAAAGCTGTGTGACTCCCCAAGGTTATGGTGCCCAGAGAGCGAAGTTTACCTGTATGAGTCAAGGTCATCGCTGATGGGCTGGCGGGGTCGGCTTAGCACGCGGTTCACCTCCCCGTGCAGCCCATCGAGCAGGAAGCGCAGGAACTCCTGTGCATCCTGCTGGCTGTGGTGGGAGCGGGGAGGGGCACAAAGAACACCCGGCTACGTCACGCGCTTTGACCACAGACGAGGAGCAGACTGCGTTCGCCGTGGATGCGTCACTGCGGTGATACTGCTTCTTATGGCGATGATGATGGTAACGGTCACCATGCTCATGATGAGCAACATGTCTAGAGCAAGATATGGTTGCACTCTTGAAAGCAATCGGTATTGTGACAGTCATCATAATCAACACTATTACCACTATTGAAATAATCATTTATTAAATTCATAATTCGTCTCCATCATAACAACTTTAATCAATGATGACCATTTGTGAGCAAAGGCCGGCGCTCAGTTGGTATTGATGCTTAAATCATCAACTGTGCATTACTCCTCTTAACAGACAACACTGGAGCAGCTGAGCCCATTGTCTGCTCTTCACTGCGGATGCAGTTTGTGTTTTGGTTCTGGTCCAGATAGCTCCACTTTCTGAGGTTTGCCTTGCAATAGCCGACACTTGTATGCAGACGGTTCAGGTATTGCCTGCAGATTGCCTCTGGTTCTTGCTACTTACACTCTCATCTTAGCAGCTGCTGATTCAGCTCATGTTCGTGCATTTCACAGTTGCAGCCATGTATTCTCCGCAATGAGCTGAGAGGTTCTATGGTGGTGATAAAACTATTACGTGATTAAACTGGCAGCAGGTATATGCTGGTAGAGTGGATGCCTTGGATTTGTGGCCTAGTGCAACCATTGTGCCCAGCTAGCGACCATTCTTCTGATTGTCCAGGTGTGTGATGTCAGCCAACAGGTAAAGGCTGTCTACATTGGTTGGCTTGAGAAAACCAGCAATACTTCTGCAGCAATCGAACACCGGGCCGATCTTTTTTAAACGTACGGACCTCTACCATGCAGGGCACACGTACTCCGCTGCCGAGCAGCAGAGAGCCACCACCATTGACATGAGTGGAGATGTATATGATCCCCATTTTGCGATGACCATTTTCTGGATGATGTGACATTGTGAGTTTACCTTCGCCCTGGTTTTCTCAATATGTGCCTTGTATGTCATAGATTAGTTGAGTATTAAACCAAGGCCGACGGGATGTTAGCAGTGGGCCAGTTTAAACCATGAGATCGTGAGTTCCCGCTTCACGTCCCTTTTTCTTAGAAGGCGCATACTTGGGTCTTCAACAGGTTGGTTCAGAGTTGGTTTTCCTCGTCGTATGCTGCACTGTCTTTTTCGATGTGTGTGTGTTCATGTTACTTCTAGAGGTAAATACCTAATTTGTTTGTTGTTAAATATTCCTGAAGGACCCTGTACTCATTCTCTACAATACTGACGTTTGTGTTGTTGCTGTGCTCACGTACCACGGATCTCCTTAATAAAATAAACGGGATCATCCGTGTAACAAATAAAAACAAACAATCTAAACTAAGGTTTGTTAATGTTGCCTTCAGGGTAATTTTGAGAGGTGATGAAAGTCCTTGCATTGGGCTGTTACGCAGCGGTCGTTCACGTAAATGAAACTTCTGGTGTCTGGGTAGATTGGAAGTAATGGTGCAAGCACACTGCTTTGTGGAAGACCATTTCTCTGTCAGTATCAGCACCTTTGCTTTCCATTAATTTCCCCGAAGAATCGTTGGTTCTCGAGTAGAGTCCGGATGAATTCGGTTAGATGTGTAGAGATGTTAATAGAGTCACTATGGCGTGTGCACCATCTATGGTCACAAGCCTGTAACTGTGTGTCTTGTGCCTCTCTAGCACCGGCGTAGGTATGGCAGGGAAGTGGACCCGAGAGGGCATGGTCCCGTTGACGGGCAGAGAGAGGGCACGTGAGAACATGACCGTCTGGGTGAACCCGAGAGGGCACGTGACCGGCACGGGGTAGCAAGGGGGCCCAAAGGGGGCTTGAGGGACACGTGATGCTGACTCCAGACCCTTCTGGAGAGATCCAGAAGAGGGCGTGGCCGGAGGCGGAGCAAGGCCACGCTCGGCAGCATAAGAGAGATGGCCCGAGAGCAATCGCGGCTGTCGTCTAGAATCAACCCACCGTGCTACGTCTCTTCGGTCGTCGGTCTTCGTGCTCGGGCATCGTGGGCGAGTCTATGTATGTGTGTGTCAGTCGATGTATGTGTGTAAGTCTATGTGTGTGTGTAACTCCATGTGTGTGTGTAAAGTCGATGTCTGTGTGTGTGAGTCCATATGTGTGTGTGTGTGTAAGTCGATGTGTTTGTATGTGTGTGGGTCGATGTCTGTGTGTGGGTCGATGTCTGTGTGTAAGTCGATGTGTGTGTGTGTGTGTCTTTTTCGCCCGGGCAACGCCGGGTACTTCCCGCTAGTGTCATATAAATACTTTCTCAAGTCATTTCAAAAGCCACTTTATCCACATTAGGGGCAAAAATGTACCTGCCCAGCAAAAAGATTTAGTCACAGATCAATAAATCCAACATTTTTTATTCTCACACCTGGAATAAGCAAATTAGGGTAAAAACTAACTTAAGGTTTTTTTTTATATATACAGTCTATGTTGACTGAGCTGGGATCACCAGCTCCCTAGTAATGAGAAGGCAGTACAACCACTTTATTTGGTGATACTGCATTGACCGCCATGCACAAGCAAAGTTAACAAAACTCAACATGCTTGTGAAAAAACTGGCTTTAAAGGAAAAAATATAGGTACTTAGGCACTGATTTGGGCAAAGGTGCTTCTTTATGAAAGCAACCTTTTGGGCATTGGTCATTCTTCAAAAAGTAGGGACAATTACATATATGAAGGGCCATTTCCTAAATCGTCACCTATTTATATGTATTTTCATTTTAAGGGAGTATTATTGACGAATCAGTATAACCACAGGTGACTAAAACTGTGAATAAATCACACCCAGCATATCAGCATTGCTAGCTCGGTGCTCTGAAACCACGTGATTCCTCCGCGTGACGCGGCCACCTGCTGGTCACTCACTTGTAGCCCATGAAGCGGGGCGCGTACTTCTGAATCTGCGTTTTGAAGGCTTGGGGACTGACCGTCTCTGAGCCCGTGCTGCTCCAGAGCGCCTGCAGCAGCCGGGCAAACTCTGCTCACGTGCAGCAAGCACACAGAGAAGACACACACATTCGCTCATTAAGTCACTCACCCACCCACCACTCACCCAATCACCGCACTGCATGTGAAAACACTTGTTCTTCTGTTTGTTTTCCCTCGCACTGCTCCACTTTGGAATTCCCTGCCATTGTTTAATTTCCTAAGCTCTGATAAATAATCGTGCTCAATAAAAAAAAGCCTGTTCACTTATATCTATCCGTCACACATCTCTCCATCACACAATGTCTTTCAGAGGTACTCCCAATGTCATGCACGAAGATTACTTGGTCACACTCAGTTATACATTGTGCACCCTTGACAGTGTCCATGTCAGGCAGGGTCTCCTAAAACTGGACTTACAAGTCCCACGTGAACTTAACCATGTGTGAATCATACATGTTATAAGGTGCACTCTTTACTAAGCACGTAAGTACCAATGCTGAAATTCACCATGACTCATTGACATATCTGCTCTTAAGTGTGCCAAAAAGCAGCAATATGTATCGGGAGGGAGCCCAAACTGTACAAATAGCAGCTCAACAAATGGGGAAGGTGGCTCTCAAGGCCCAAGCGTTGTTAACAATCACATAAACTTAATATAGGGAACGTTCAGGTCAAAGCATGTACAGAAACACACTTTAAGTACAACAAAAACAACTACAACAATGTTTGTTTATGTTATTGCGTTTGTCATGTTGGTGACCCAGGTCATTCTTGTATAACAGACTACACTGGTCTCTTGAGTTCATGTCTGGTGAAATAAAATACATTTTAACTTGAAGGTGACGCACAGTAGTGAATAATGATGAATAGTGATGCCTGTGTAAACGCAGAAACTACAAGGGGGGCACTTGCCATACCCTCCATGAGAGCGCCCTTCATCCTGCTGCCCATGTTGAGCTCTTGTTTGAAGTCCCCCTTGAGGCAGTAGTCCCGCAGATCATTACTGTTGCTCAGGCACTGGATCACAGAGTTGAGGAAGCACTGCACACACAGTACAGACACGCAGAGCCACACTCAGCCGACCGCATCGCTCAGACGGAGCCCCGCACTAACAAGACGTGGCAAGGAAATGCCAGCGAAGAAAAGAACCTCCTGCTTTGGACACTCAACAACACTGGGACAATTGTGAGCAAGGGTGCAGATCCACCTTAGGACTCATCAGGACAGGGGAACAGGCGGCGATCTTAATGTCCACTTGCCACCCACCATCATTTCTGGAGACCCAACTCGAAACACAAACGGCTCTTACTCCGTGTGTTCCACTCTGTCCGACATCAGCGAGCATCTTAGGTGGGGACATGGCCCAGCAGTCATGCATTTGCCGGATGTTGCAGAGGTTCACGGTTTAATTAGGGCTGGCTGCCCTGGCTAATACTGCCATATATTTGAAGTCTTCGTGACTGCAGGGATCCATACTCTCTGGTTATTTCGGTAAAGTCACGTAGATAGAAAAAAAATATAATAGAACACGACGTTTCTGTCGCAACACAAGTATCCGCCATCAGGTGAGAAAGAATGATCTGCTGTTGTGGCTTTATAAAGGCACGTAAGGGGGGGGGGGGCGAAGTGGGAGGGGTTTTGTAGAGTAACTTAAAGCTTTCGTGGCTGCAGGAGTTCACGGGGGAGGGTTTGTGGCGTGCAGGGATGGGTGGGGGCTGACATGCTAATTTCTCCAGCCCCCACCCATCCCTGCACTCCACAAACCCTCCCCCCTACCCCCGTGAACTCCTGCAGCCATGAAAGCTTTAAGTTACTCTACAAAACCCCTCCCCCCTCCCGTGCCTATATAAAGCCACAACAGCAGATCATTCTTTCTCACCTGATGACGGACGCTTGTGTTGCGACCGAAACGTCGTGTTCTATTATTATTTTTTCTATCTACGTGACTTTACCGAAAGAACCAGAGAGTATACTGTCATATATATTAACATAACATATATTTATGATGGATGTTAAAGATCCCAAGACATCACGCGAACAAGTAGCCAATTGTGAGCTGGCGTCTCAATCCAAATGATAAAAATGACACCGCAAAGTAATTAGTAACACAAATAATTGTCACCCCCTACTGCGGTGGCTGCTAAGGGCGGTGTGGTATTTAGCAGTAACAAGGCTGTGGGGACCGTCAGACTGTAGCTGGTGGGTTTAGCCACTTACCGTGTTTCCTAAGTTCCGCAGTCCGACCAGGCCCTTCACTGTCTTGGTGGCCTGTAAGGCCACACAGGTAGGATGAAGGGAAAGAGAAATTAACATTAGAAACAGAACCTACATAAAAACAACACAGACAAATTAAACAATAAAGTCAATGGGACAGATCTACATGGTGCTGAATCGGCCGACACGCTGCCCTAGTGGTTTGCCTGATTGCTGCTGATGGCAGTGATATCGGCACATTTGCTAAGCACACCTTGGGCCCAAACGGTTCCTCTGCTCTAACGCGCATTGCACAGTGCTCATCTTTGTCAGAAACCCTGATCCAGTGGTGGAAGTTCCACGTTCCTATGTTGGTAAGCAGCCTAACTAGTCTTCAGTTCCCACTGTTCAGTTCCCACAAATTGGTATATATTTTATTAACCCCGTAGCAATGGAGAACATCAGCAAACGACTGCGCAAATAAACAATCTGCTGGTTTGACACTAAATGTCGAAACTGGTTCAGAGTTTACTTGTATTAAACTGATGGCGCTGAAAATGTTATTCCTAGAATGCTGCACAGCTGATGAGATGTGTAAACAATACTTTTTTAAAGTGGAATAACAGATATGAAAATATGCAGTCTGATTATCTTTTTCGTGACGTAAAAATTGCCTTTTCATTGAATTTGGTAAAATTTCAGTCGTGAAAATCAAAAACAATGGCTACATCGACAAAACAATACCAAAAGTGCAACGATGTCAAGATAACGTGCATCAAACTGTGTATGTAACATCTTATTACTGTTGCGGCCAGGTGATTGAGCGTTGAAGTGAGCGGCTCGCAATCAGAGACTGTGGTCAATGAAACGAGTACTACTTTATGGGTAAGTCAACAGAATCACGAGTATAAGAAATTAGTGACTGAAAAAACACATGCATCGCAGCCTAAATTATAACAATGCAAAGTACATAAATGCAACAAATAGAATTCAGGGTATAAACCCTGAATTACAGAAGAAATTGAAAAAAGTGCATGAATTAAAATCAGTAGTAAATTAAATACATTTCCTGGAAATCAACATTGGATCGGGCAAATTACTGTTTAAAACCATTAATGAAAAAAAGTTACAGAAACATCAACATCGATTTTGGGTGATTATTGCATGAGGGCTTTGCCCTGGCACTGGTAAAATAAATACCAAATTTGTTGGGAAGTCAACAGTGGTTGTGTGCTATGGAGAGACTGCCTCTACTATAGGAATGTGGAATTTCCACCACTGATTCAGGCCTGTAAACAAGGAGATGAGCACTGCATCAATGCTCATTTAAGCAGGAAATCACTTCGACATTCAATGGTACAATTAGGTTAAATGAGTAAAAACAATGCAAAAGAAAAGCATTAAAATGACAGTGTTGCTGCATACCTACTGGTCATAAATAATTATATAGTAAAACTCCATCTTAAAATAAAAATAGCAATTTTTATTGTGGAGAACAAAAGTAAAAAAACAAATAAGGAGGCATTACACCTCCATCTAAGTATGCACTCAGAGAAGGCTGTGTGGCTTATAGTATGTGTAATGAAAACGTTAATTGTTTTTACATGGAAGTATATGTGGAGGCATATTTTCTGCTTATTTATTTCATGAATAAAATAGTTTCGTGCTATATTAAGTCTTGCCCAACTGTGTGTATGTTTTGTATAACTGTATCATTCAGTTTTTGTATGGAAGGCGCTGAAGGCCATCAGAATAAGGGTCACAAAGGGACCACACAGAGATCAATGATTTAGCTGTATGCCTAGACATCAAAAGCACAATTTAAAGATGTATTTAGCAAAAAATACAGCTTGATAATAATGTAAATTAATGAACATTCCCAACAACCTGGCTGGAAAAAAACCCAAATATTTTAACAAATCTGGTGAAAACTGGAAGAACGTTATTTCTTTTTACCTGGCGTGGCTAGTGTTAGCTCGGAATCGGAAAACGGTCAACCACATATCACACACGAGGCCCTGCAGCTGGCTGCATGGAGAACGTAAGTAGAATGTTTCCTTAGTTTGGAAGTCAACGCTGTAGATGTTAAGACAGACAATTACAGCAGCTGTTTAACGCAACTGGCCACTGGTCGTCCTTAGTGTAACTAATAATAATACTTCGTAATTACAGTGGTCTCTTCCAAGGAGCGCCTCAATTCACCTTCAGACTCTTATTTCAGAATGGTCCTGTATTGGATTTTTTCTATCAATTCCCTGACTGAGTCTAGTCTTTGAAGTTCCAAGAGAAACCATACACATACAGGAAAGCTCTGTACAGACGGAGTTAATCAATTTCTGTACCACCATCTCCTGGCTAACTCGCAGGGCAAGCCTACAACAGCTCGTTTTCCCAGACAGTCTATTGTACTTTGTTTTTACTTTATTGGTTTTGTAATTTTGGTGACTCAATCTGGAAAAAAATATTTTTCCTGGTCTCACACATTAAACAAACTAAACAAGAACTATTTATTTTAATCATGCATTGTTGGTACATTCATGGTATTTTGGTCATAGATAACATCGGTTTGTGTATTGAGGTTGGATGTATTAAATTATCTCAACTTTACAAATACTTACCGAGGAGAGTTTATTTTTGTAAATGTTATGGTCAAAATGACTGTACCACAATTTAATGTGTTTGCTGAGTATGCATACATTGATGCTGGAAACACCCTTGCAAACAACATGTTTCATCTCAAGCAACTTATCAGTCACTTTTTTTTACAAATAAAATAAAATAAACTGGTTTATATTTTCATACAAACAGTACGAGTGGCTGGCTGCCCAAACGCCTCTCCACGTCCCCCCTCGCCAAGCCCCAGTCCCCTCTCTCTCCCAGTGCCCTCTCCCCACTTCTCCTTCAGTCGTCTTTTATAACGTGATCTATTTACAACCCGTGGAGTGGGACCTTTGCCCCCTTCCCACGTCACTGCCGAGCACAAAGACGCAAATAGAAATAACAGTAAAAAACAAAAGCCAGTTGAAGCACCGCTGCGTTAATTATGGTCCCCGGGACACACAGCGGGCGCTGATTTCCAGTGCAGGCTTTGTGCCGGGGCAAGAAGGTTCTGCATCTAGTTTCACATTCACCAGATTCAGCAGAACTCAGAGCTCGGACCGAGCGTTGGCTGCGCCATGGCCAGGCTAGGCACAGGAGTCCGTATTTTGTGATGAGCGGCACAGTCCATACACGTTTGGCATTGTGAAGCAGCTGTGCCATCCCGAGCGTGCTGGGATATGCTTTAACAGACAAGCATTTACCATTGCGGGCATGTCGAGTCAAAGGGACAAAACAATATCTTGACCAATCAGCCGAACGTTTGTGATCTACCATATTACTGGGCCAATTGTGCATAGTGCAGTCTCCAACCATTATTCACTCCATCTCCTTTAGAAGCTCTGATAATACATATTGTTTCTCTAGTCCTGTCAGATTTCTACAGACTCATTCACTCCATTAGCCTAATTTACCATTGAAAATCAAAGGAATTTTGCACTCAAATGTGCATTGGATGATTTCGAAACATATGTTTACAGTCTTGAGCCGGTGGTGGGAATTATATGCTCCTATGGTGGAGGCGAGTCTATCCATAGGACAACCACAACGTTGGGAAGTCAAGAGTAATTAGCATGGTTGGCTACGTACAGTGCAAAAAAAATTCAACATACATACAAAGTGGTACTCATTTTACCGGCGCCAGGGGGAAGCCCTCATACAATCATCACCGAAAATAGATGTTGATACTTCTGTAACTTATTTTGGTATGGTTTTTAACACCCATTTGTCCGAGCCAACTTTATTTACAGAAAATATATTTCATTTACAACTATTTATATTCATGCAATTTATTAAATTTCCTCTGTAATTCAGTTTTTTTTCTCTTGTATTCTAATTGTTGCATTGTTGTACTTATGGCTGCGATTAATGAGTGTTTTTCCGGTCACTCATTTCTAATACTCGTGATTCCCAACAGGCATCTTTATAAAACTCTAAATTATAGTGTTTCATTCAGATGACTATTGGAAAAAAGTTTTGGATATTTTGCTAGTTCTATTTTCTTGTGTATTTATAGCATTGTGTATATAGAGTATATCACAATATGGCAGGTACACAGTACACGTGTTTGCTTAAGACTTGTATTGCTATAGGCCACTTGACAACAATCACCCTCATTTCATCATCATCATCATGGGACCTTTTTTGCCAGTACCAAAATATGAAAATAGGTTTTCCCCTTTTTTCTGGCAAAAAACAGGTGTTAAAATGTCAAAACACCAAACTGAAACCTTTTACAAGGAATCATGTTACTGCATTTCAACTTTTGGCGTCCTCTGGTAAACACCGTTTTGAGACGAGGCTCAAACGAAAGCTGTCTCTGGTGTGGACCAATCAGTTTCAAAGACAATGCATATATTATCAGAGTATGTTTTTTGTTTGCATTCTGACCACAAGTATTGTGGTTAATGCAGACATGATTCCTTGTAAAAGGTTGCAGTTTGATGTTTTAACATCTCAACGCCTGTTTGTTGCCAGAAAAAATGGGAAAACCTATTCTCATCACCCTGATTGTTGAAGGCAGGTTGCTGGGATCGTTGCTGAGTGCGAAACACCACAAACTTTGATACACACAAAGCGCACACACGCCTACACAAGTGTATACTCAGGCACTTGTAAACAAGCACAAAGATATCCCCCTATAGTCTGAATAGACTGTTGGGGCAAGTGCTGTTAGGGAGTACCTATGAAGGCCGGCACGACACACGAGGGGGTGGGTGGCCAGCACCACGCTTGGCCATCTTTGTCTCCCGAGTGGCGGTGTTTACACATCGCACCAGGTACTCGTTTGAGGCTGAGTCGACTTAGGGGAGGCCAAGGACCGATTCAGATAATCGTCATGGGTGTTGGCCGTGAGCGAGAATCGAGCTCGGGTCGCCGGGGATATAGTGCAGCGAGCTAGCCATTGCGCCACTGCTCCCCTATACACAAAGACACAGGCACTCACGCACACTCATACGCTTATACAAAGAGAAATGCTGAGAAAATTATCCTCATTTAGCCTCAGATTTATGGGGCAAATTATATGAGCAAGTACCACGTAATTCTAAACAAAAAGGTTCCCCATCTAGCGTACACAGACTGTTGGGGGAAGTGCCTTTAGTTTAACACGTAGGCTTTCGCGACCAATATCATTCATAATAGAGGTTTTTGAGTTAGATCCCGTAAATATGTGTCGTTAAAACCCGCCACCACCCGACACAGCCAACTAGTAAGGGTTGTCACGTAAACAGAACATGCCAATTCGTCACTAGTACAGCACACCGGTGTGTTGGAGAGCCAAGTCACAACATTTACAAACTGTCGCCTGATGAAGCTAGTTGTAATTACTGGTGAAACGTCGTACTCAGTTCTAACCCAAGAACCTCTATTAGGAAGTGCCTTTAGCAAGCACCTATGAAGGCCAACACATTGCACGAAGGGGTGGTGTGGCAAGCTCCATGCCAGGCAACCTTTGTCTCCCCGATGCTAATGTTTACACACCACACCAAATACTCATTTATGGCTGGGTCTACCGAGTGGAAGCCCAGGGTCAGTTCAAATAATCAACCGCTGATGTTAGCTATGGCTAGGAATGGAACTTACGCTACCATGTCCAGAACACAGTGTGCGAACCACTACAATATCGCTTCCTCCACACACACACCCACAACAACAACAACCGCCATTCCCCACTAAGTGGCGGTGACGTCACCACGACGCTATTAGTGGAAGTGTTCCTCAGTTAATGCTCCCCGTTAACTCCTTACTTCCCTCTATCCTAGACCTTCTCAAATGTAGGCTAGCTAACCTGGCCCAGCTTCGGCGCAGGTTCCGACCCTCAGCCACACGAGTCTGGCCCTTACAAGGACATCAGACCTCGCTGCTCTGCGGTCGCACCACTGGCTTGTCCTGCTCGGCCCTTACAAAGACAGCGATTCAGGGGAGTTCCAGGTCTAGCTAGCTGGCCTTCAGTCTTCACTGGTTCTTCCTCTTGACCTGTACACGACCACTGCCTCGAGCTCTCTCGCTCTCCGCCTTATATACCAACCTGCCCTCGAGGGGCGGGGCTGTGTGGGATCCCAGAATTCCCCCCACACAGCCCCCTAGGGCGGTAACCGTTTGCGGACGTGGATGTAGACATCCCGGTTTAACTGCCCGTTTTTCCCTCTCGCAACACCCCTACATATACACACACAGGAAAAGATCCACCCATATAGCCTTAAACAGACTGTAGGAGCAAGTCTGTTCACGAGTACATGTTCAGGTCAGCAAGGCACACAAAGGGGGTGGGTGGCTAACTTCACACCTGACCACCTTTGCCTCACCAGTGGTGATGTCTACCCATAACACAGGTACTCATATGATACTGAGTCGACCTAGGGGAGGCCCAGGACTAGTTAAAAAATCTGCCACTGTTTTTGGTTTTGAGTGGGAGTTGAATTTGGGTCGTCAGGTTTGTAGCAGTGTGCTAATCACTACTCGGCCACAAAGACAATGACACCTGTACATGCACAGCGACTAGCACCTGCACACACACATGTATGTACAGTATGTTGAACTTATTTAGCACCGTACGCACCGTACGTAGCCAACCGTACTAATTGGCAGTGCAGATGCATTGTATACCCGTACACATACACCTGTACCAGCTGTATACACCAAGACATAGGCCTGTACACACATACACACAGAGTATACCTGTACACACAAATACAAACACACACACATGCAGTGCACAGCTGTACACACACCCATGAGTACTCACCGCACTCTCCCTCTCGGGCGGCGAGTGCGCCGTGTTTCCGGTGTAGCGTCCGCTGCTGGTACCAGTTCCGCCCAAGTAGGATGAGGATCCGATGGCCGAGCCCTTGAGGCCACCGCTCTCGTCGTCGTGGCTGGAGGTGCCGTGCCGCGTCACGTCCGCACCTGCCCGGCGAGCCCCCACCACCGACAGCCCTCCCAGGTCTCGGCTCAAGTGCAGCTCCGTCTGGCTGGTGGAGCGGCGCCGTGCAAGCGCCTGCGTCGACGAGAATGCGTTGCTGCTGCTGCTGCCGAGGCCGCTGCCGAGGCTGCTGCTGCCGTACGCGGAGGAGAGTCCGGCCGAGCTCTTGAACGACGAGTAGGAGCCGCACGCACCGCCCGCGCCGTACGAAGTCGAGTACGCGCCACTGCTACCGCCGCTGTAGCCCCCGTTGAGCCCAGACGGGGAGTAGTAGCCACTGCCGATGCCGCTGCTACCGCCACCGATTCCACCGTAGCCCGGAGATCGGAACGGCAGGCGGCTGAGGCTCTCGCTGCGCCGGCTCAGGTCGTGGAGGTGCGAGTCGAGGAAGCGTGAGCTGCTTCTCCCCACGCGTTCCTCCACGCCCGAGTTTGAGCGCAGGCGCGAGCCGCTGCCTCCACCGACGCCGCCGTAGTCGGCGCCGCTGCCAGTTGAATAGCGGTAGTCACTAGAGTAGGTGTGCGTCGTCACCAGGGGAAGCCCGTACGACCGTCGCCCGTTGCATACCGGCTCGGTGAGGTAGGACCGCGTGTGCGAAGAGCTATGCCATGCCATACCGGCGGCGGGCGGTAAACGCCACGGCACAGAGCGGCTGGCCCAGCGCAGTAGGAGCCCGCTCAATGCACCAGCGCCTCTGCCAGGTACTCGCGCTCTGCCCACAGAAGAGGAGACAAGGAGACACGGGTGGTGAGAGGGAGATGGCCGAGACACCGGCATCGCTCGCAACAACGAATGTCCCAGGTGGCCAAATAAGAATGTCCCAGGTGGCCATCGCATCTGTGACTACCAAACAGGTAAAACTTGAATGCGTGGCTTCACAATATTATGCCAGGCTGTATGATATTCTATCAGAAATTACACCGCATGACCGGCCGTTCCTTCTCGGAAACAATTAAACATTCAAGACAGAAAACAACCTGCCAACAAACTGCACACGTTTGTGTGGCGTGATGACTCTGCCAGCGTGCGCCAATGCAAACAGAAATTCACACGCATGCCACAGCACGCCCAAGAATATGATTACCACCCCAAGCCCTCCCTCCAATCCCTTTGCATCTACTCCGTGCCGCCCACGCCCTTGCAGGGATCCTGCTGTTATCATTGCAAAACAGACATGCAAACAACCTCTGCACATGAGGGTGAAACATTGATAAAGCATTGCATTGCCCATCACTTATTAGTGTCGAATGTTTAATTTGTAACAGAGAATATGCCTCACTCTCCAAAATCTCAATCCAATCCTGGTATACAGCACGTAACTGTGAAATCATTTCAAAAGAGATCCAATACATGCATATATATTTTTTCTTAAATAGAAGTATTGTCACAATGCTCATGGGCCTGACTTCACGTGCAATTGTGCTCGTGAGCCTACGCTGACATGCGCGACACCTTCCACAGCACGTGCCCTTCACAAACGCACGCCTCATACTTACCCATGCCCTCGAGTGTCACCGCAGGGCCTGTGCCCAAATGCAGCCAGGAGATTGTGGCACAATTTGCACAAGTAAATACGACGTGCGATAATCGTTGAAAGAATAATTCTTCGACAAACTTCCAAGTCCATCACCAAATTATTTTCCCTTGTGAATAATTGCACAGTTGCAGGGCGGCATGTGCATTTAGACAAACAATTATATAGCAAGCAGCGTTGTGTCTTAATAGCATGCAGCCGCCATGCAAGTTGCACGCCACATGGGTTTGCAATGGGCCCAACTCCGAGTGCCACAAAATGTCTCGTGCAAACAGACGGGTTAGACGAGTGTGAGCACACCCTGGCGCACTCAATAAATGCCTAACCACGCTAAAACGTACAGCTTTGGAAACAAGGCACACAGGCAAGCCTACCAGCACAAACACACACATACGGAGCTAGAATTTCGGCATTTGGAATGGGCTGGTATATGGCGATATGGCAAATCGGCACCAAACATGCATAAAGGCACTTTTTTAGAACATGTTACCTTCAAGCAACACGAATAAATTTGACGGGAAACAGCAGTGAACATGGGCTGCACAGGTTTCATACCGGAACTTTTAATAAAAATTCGGCCACAGCCACTCATTAGGGATGTTGTATGGAGAGGAGGACCGATGCTCGTTAGAGTGGCATCAGCAGGTCGCATTGACTCCTTCACTTTAAAAAAAAACTTGACACAATGGTCTTTCATAATATACGTTTTTTGGGTTAGATCGTGTAAATATAAATGTGTCGTTAAACCAGCCACCAAATCTGGCTGTTGCTTGATGAAGCTATTTGTAATTACTGGTGAAACGTCGTACTCAGATTGTAAATGTTGTGGATTTGCTCTCCAACACACTGGTGTGCTGTACTAGTAACGAATTGGCATGTTCTGTTTACGTGACAAACCTTACTAATTGGCTGTGTCAGGTGGTGGAGGGTTTAAGGATATATTTCTATATTTAGGCGATCTAACCCAAAAAACCTGTATTATGGATATTAGTCGCGAAAGCCTACGTGTTAAGCAGTTTTCTTGACTTTCTCGTAGGCATCCAACAGCAATCGCCTTCCATGACTCCTCTAACAATCTAGCAAATGTAACTCAAGCACCCTGCTGTAAACCAGAGACATTCTGATGCTGCTGCTACTGCTGTTGTTGACGACTGATGTTACTCGCCATCCTTAACCACCCACATACCTTACTCAGTGGTTCAAACAGCACGCCGACGCACTTTAGGCTGCACTGCCCTCGTCTCCGCGTGTGCATACGTGCATGTGTGTCTGAGCTCAGCTGCACTGTAAAACTTGAGAGCGGTGCTCGCTAGTGGGGGTCTGAGTGATGGCATTAACGGAATTTGCACTTCTGACGTCATGAGTTTGGCTCGGTCAATGTGGAACCCCTGCATTTAAATGTGTATTATAATTAGTGTAAGCGAGCCCACAGCCCGTCCCACTGTTTGTTAAAATCTCAGGCATGAGTTGAGTTTTATCTTTGAGGTCGATAAAATTAGTATCACTATGCCGACCCCAGAAATGTGGCATTTACACCACTAGTTCTGGGATGTAACAAGAGACAAACACCACCCACTTAAAGTGTAACATGTCCATGAAATGCACTCGCATGCTCAGCAGTGAACAGTACTCAAAGCTAACCATGCCTTACAGCTCTATTACCTAATTTCCCAAATGCTAAGATATTGCTTGAGCATGTAACAAGATTCATTACTAGAGTCACATATTTCCACTGTTGTGCGCACAACGCAATGTGTTAATATGCGAAAACACACTGCTTCAATAAGCAATATAATTATCACCTGAACAATGTCATTTCATATTTTTCAGTGAGATGCACAGTATAGATTCAAACAGTCATTCATATTATTACAACGGTGTGATACAATGAAAAACATTTTGAGGGATGTCACCGGTGGTTGTCATATGGAGATACTAGCCTTTGCCGTGAAATTGTGGAATTTACACCCTGGTTTTAAGGGTTGCCAAAAGAGATGAGCATTATGAAGTACTTACTTAAAATAACTAAGTTGACACTATGCCTCATTCGCACATCCGTCCTTCCATATAATTATTATTTTTTAAACATTCTATCATCCTCAGGGCCTTCTGGAGTTTATAATTTCAGCAACATTAGTTAAACACAAGGAAACTTTGGACCAGTTTTTACATGCAATGTCTTATCAAAAGAGACCGGCTTGCTTGAACTCACAGCCAGGATGAATGTATGCTCCTTTTATTATTTTAATGAATGCATTTAGGATTCAATAAATGAGAAAGAATAACTAAGCCACATGGGATGAATTTAATCCAATCAGACAGCTAACAACAGGAATAACTCATGTGACGTGAATGCAGTAAACAGACAATGGCTGGCTGTGCATGAGACGTAATTCTGTTTTCAAAAAGGGAAGTTACTCATCTTCCACCAAAAACAAATAGGGTGGTTTCAATTTGAACACATTGAAAATACCCCACAAATATTTTATTAATGGAAAGTATATAACAGGCTAACCTACGTGTAGGACTTTTCAAATTTCAATAAGATTTTGTTTAACCAACTGAGAACTCAAAGAGACCAGGATAGTCCCATTTTCACCACATTGTGATCTAAGGCATCGCCACTAGGCCTGCAAGTGAAGGCAGGTGTATGTGCATGGGTGATGCGAGCAGGCAGTCTGCGTATGTAAGATTACTGGTAGGGTTCTTGAACAATAACCGGTTAACCAGTAACCATTTTCATATTTCTAAGGTCAGGAACTGGTAACCGAGTCTAGTGAAACTTTAGTCAGGAGTGCTGATTGGCATACGTGACCGTACAATCTGCATGGCGCGTGCGAAAATTAGTTAAGGTGCAGTCCTGTAATTGCTTGCTCATGCCACTGCTGACAGAAGGGCCTCCACTACAGAGAGTTCTAGAGGGTAGTTGGTCCACTCCTCTATGTTGATTCCACTGGCACACCAAGAGATGAAATCGAACCGGTAAACTCTGAATTGAAGTCCAGTGTGCGAACCATTATGCCACTGTGACAGCTCCCTCCATTTCTCAGTTTAAAAGCTTAACAAGTTATGTGTATTGCTCTGGACATTTCCATGTGTGCAGCAAACCAGTAAACGTTTTTTTCGATGCGGTTACAGGTGATGCAAAATTTTTTATTTTAATGACCCTAATTACCGGTGAGACTCTTCTCCGCCCTGCCACACCCACACAAGCCGTGCCTCTCTCTCATGCTGTGCGCATGACCCATGTACACCATACCCCAGTGACGACGTGTGTGTATTAGTTTCATTAGATGATGTGATGTGGTGGGCAGCGCAGACTCGAGACTCATAATTGCTCTATGATTTCCAGCAGCTGGCCAGGTGGCTCAGTGGTAGCGTGAGCAGCACACAATCGGGAGGTTGCGAGTTCAAATCACGGTTGGGTGTGAACTTTGCACATCATCCCTCCTAGGACAGTAAAAAGAGTATTACTTTGTCAGGGTTATTAAGTCAAGTGATTGTTCTGTGGTTAACCTTGCCCCTACCATGGGAACATGTAATTTCTACCACTGGCTTAGAGCTGTATACAGGAGATGCTGGGACGCTGGTGGCTTTGTATGCATGTTCAACTTCTTTCACACCATACATGATCAACCATGCTAATCGGAGGTGCGGGGATGAAAACAAACTTAACACAAAAAGCAGTTCTAAAGAAATTATTTTCAATGTAGAGGCAGACCCCGGGTTATGAAAGGATTAAGTTCCTGAAAACAATCTGTAACCTGAATTTTCCGTATGTCGGAAATTAAACAATTTTCCCCCAAAATCAAGATAAAACCCATAGCCAGAAATAAGTTGTGTCTTCCCTACCGTTTTCTCTCAGTACTGTATCGCGCTGTTATCCGTTTTCTATCGCTAACTGTATCGTATCACTGTACATATACGCTCTGCACATTTTAATATTAATTGTTACCAAAAAGCAGTCAGTTTAACACGCAGGCTTTCGTGACCAATATCACCCATGATACAGATTTGTGTTGGGGTCAGATCACGTAAATATGTAAATGTATCGTTAAATCGAGCTGTCGCCTGATAAAGCTAGTTGTAATTACTGGCGAAACGTCGTAATCAGATTGTAAATGTTGTGGCTTGGCTCTCCAAAACACCGGTGTGCTGGACTAGTAACGAATTGGCAT